CCTAGTTCTAAACTTCATTTCATTAAAGGAAAGGTTTTTACCCCAAAAATATGTCTTTAGAAGGATCTAGAGTAACTTCTTCAAAAATAGGTAGTTACGCTTGAGCCAACTTTTATAATATGGCTATAAAACTGTTAAATTGGAATTAATCGGTATATCTGTTAATTACGACACGTGAGACCATTATAACCATAAAAATTGGTCTAATTGGTCCCAGAAGTGAGCCCCAAGTGAGGTCTTTTTTCAAGTCACATTTATGGTACCTGTTAATTGTTTATAAAAAAAATCAATGTGTTTTTCTAAAGCTTTCAAATAACACCAATATTGGTGGGGCACCATGATTGTGTCAGAAGAAAATCTTTATAGTTCGCGTCGCGGAAGGTGCGATTTATTTGATGTTGAGTAAGTATACATATAATAAGTTCTTCAATTAAAGTTGCCTTCCTTTATATCATAACACGTTAAGAAGAACGAGGTTGCTAGACTTGTTAGTACTTTGCAAGAATTGCGTAATCCTCAGCTTGTACTTACATGATTATACTAAAACTTCGTAAGTACGGTGCGTAGTCACGTATCAAGCCTTTTAACAAATACGACATAAAACCGTACTAAAAGAGAAAATGCGGCTTGTCACCCTTTTGGCCTTTTAGGCTTTCAATTACCTCCTTACTTCTTTCTACTGAAGTTTATTTTCATTACATAGGTACCTACAATAATTTACGATATTTTATCAATTCACTCTATGATAAGCTGTATAAGTACTGAGGCTGACTCTAAGATGTTTTAGAGGACCAGTTTAACTCCACTTTAGGCATGGAAGAAGACAAATATCAAAATCAGACAAGGTCTTCATAAAAAATAAGCGAGCTGCCTAATTGAGAAGAACAAATGAACCATCGTCATAATCCGGCAAAAGCACGTCTTCAGAACTCGCGTTACCAGCTCTTATTACTCTTTATTGCCTCTTGATAACCTATTTCGAGCAGGAGGAGGATGTGGAACAGCTTACAAAGACAAGACAACGCCTTTGAACTGACTTTATTTCACTTCTCTCGCTTGACTAAACGAGATTTTCAAAGTGTTTGTAGTGTCTCATTTTACATAATGGACATTTATAAATTTTCAGTAGAATTACTTATCACGGCTGTAACTTAAACCTGCAATAAACTGAACTCTATAAATCCTCTGCTCATCATTTTAATTATAAAAATGAGAGCAATCTCACTCTATGATAACACGATAGGCAAACCCTAATCAATATGCTAATAAACAAATAATTAATTTTCTTTGATTTAATACTGTAGGTCCTACAGTATTAAATAATAACATAGCAATAGGTAGATGATAATCTCACACACATCTATGCCGTCTGCCTTAATTTAGGGACGTACACGATTGAATCTATGTACATAATGAATGGTAAAACATCTAGAACTCTAGAAGCTTTGCTTTAGAGAATTTGCGTTCATTGAAAACGTTCGATAAATGGACATTCTATAACAAAACAATACATTCAGTGTAAATGGCACGAGAGAGGCATGATATGGTGCATTGCAGACCGCAGCTTCTCATGAGGACAGATCGCGTGTAGACCGTCCAATGAGAATTTAGTTCAGGAATTAATTCAGTTTGGTACAGCGGTGTGGAATTTACATAGCAACCTCGTAACACCGTAAACCTCGTTTCACAGAGACTCGTGAAATGGAAATGTGTGGATTGCGAAATGCAAAATTATAAGCAGGACTGGCGAAGTCTAGGCAAGGAGCACTTTGGGAGTTCTAGTTCTGTTGGATATTTTTTTCATTTTCCACTTAGGAAAACATTGTAATGACAATTTAGGCAATAGTAATAATAATTAAAGTCTGAACCAAAATTAGTACCTAGCTTTGATTGAAGTATGAAGCGGCAGCACCCAATCTTCTTCTTTTCGTGAATATAGGACCACCCAATAAAAAGTTTATACTAGATAAAATGAAACTATGAATGAAACTACAAGTGTAACGAACGAGGAATTATTCCCATTTAGGTAGGTACATCTATTTAATTTATTGTGTTGCCCAAGCCCATGTAAGTAATTTATAAAGGATGTCCTTTGTTAATTTAGGAGCAGAGCAGGCAAGGTAATAATTGTACAAAGGTATTGTGGATGTACTTATGAAGGTTAGTGGTTAATTAAAATGCTTTGTTGTGTTGCGAAATGTTGAATTATTATTTAGAAGCTTTATAATAAGTTTGAATACAAATGAACATTAATAAAACTCATCTAACTGCTACTTGTTTACTCTACATTATTATGTAAGGCGTATCACACGAGTTGACGGCCTTCCGCGGCCATAATGGTATTCCAGAGCCCTCAGATAACTCAGAAATATGCGATTCCGACGTGCACGCTTCCTACTTCGTCCCCGCGAGCATGAGCAATATTTAATGCTTATTTCATTATGCTTTGTTTGTTGGAGTATTATGACGACACATTGTTATGACGACAAATTGTTGTTTTCTTAGAGTGGGTTAGCCCACTCTAAGAAAACAACAATTTGTCCTAGATATAATATGCGAGTGTGAGACAGGTAAAATACCTAGTAGGTATTATATTATTACAAAATCCTTTGATTTATTTCAATGGTTTGCGCTTTGATAACTCTCGTGTCTAGTTAGCGCCTTTAAGGTTTCAGGCTAAGTTTACTGAAAATATCTGAACAATAACTGAAGCAGGTGTTCTACCAAATTATTGTTTATACCAGGACTAAATAGCTTTTTTTTATGGAAAACTTTAATTAAAGCCCGTTCTAATAACATTTCATCAATGAAGTTATTTAGGTATGTAATAATAATAGTCTGTTACATAATAAGTAAATTATCCACTCGTGTAGGTAGGTTATGTTATTTAATATTGTAGGTAGACATTAGAGATGTAGCGAGCGCGCGCGTAGTCGCTACGAGATTAAAAGCTACGACGCTACGAAGTCCAAATCTTGATCTAGGTACAAACTTTTTCCACTGGTACATTTACAATAAACTCATTATTTGCTACATTTTGCAACTCTACTTTAAAATAACTCGTAGTCGTAGTGCATGAACTTAGAATTGATTAAATTGTCTATAAAAGTGATTCATATATTCCATAATAGTGTCGCTTTATGTATAATGGCATACATAAACAACTTCAATTTGCATACTATTCTTTCACGAAGTGCCGGGAATAGGCTTACGGAAAGCGAGTTATATGTTAATTAGATTCCTTTGAAGATTTTAATTAAAATAGTTCATCGAAGTAGTGAAGGTGAGATACACAATATAGCCATTATACACAATGACATGCTATGCTTCTTAGACACGTGTATAGCAAAAGCAAATAAGTATACCTCATACTACCTACTTAGATTTTATGATAAGAAAATTTTAATCATAAAAATGAATTACTTAAATGGTACAAGTGTAGTTTCAACAAGTTAACTAATATGTATGTGTAGTTCAATGGTTAAAGTAGTAAAGGAAAGGTCGCGGGTTCGAGTCCTGTTTGAGGAATCTTTTAGAAAGTTATCATGTTTTAGATTCGACTTTCTACACATTGTAAATATGAGTATGAGCAATGAAGGTATAGATAGATCCTTTGTACAAAGAACACATACACAAATCCAGCTGTCGCATAATGTTTGTTTATGCGACGCTCGGTGGTAGTAACAACAAACAAATAAAACAGAGAGGACGACGTGACGTCTGCTCTGTAATCTAATGAAATATGAATGCCGCTCCACGCTGGAAAATGGCTGGATTTTCTCTTTAATCGTAGGTGTGACGTACTTAGGTGTACTTATAAAGCTCTTCCCGCGGACTTAGATAACATTAAACAGGTAGTTCAAGGAAGCCCATATTGCGATAACAAGCTTCGTTAAAACGTACACCTACACACGACAGAATAATCGACTCTAGACATCTTAGAGGGATAACTTTTCACGTTATTAAATGTTATCTTTTATTGCTAACGACTTAATTAAAAGTTGTACACACCTACATATCATAATGTGATTACTAAAGTTGAGATTTGATGAGAAAGTTTAGTGTTTTCAAAGATTACTTATAGGTAACAGGATACCTGCTTAGTTTGTTGTTAATTTCATTAATTTTATGTGTAAAAAATACTAAGCTTATTATGAGACCACAATCTCAAGAGCTCTTTCGTAATCAGTAACCTAAACTCGTAATCAAAACGACAACAAGTCGTGCGGCGGGTGCTTATCTAGAACAATAAATAAATCGAAACGTGTCCCGGAGTGGCGTGGTTAATTGGGTGTCAGATTAAACTGCGTGTTGCTGTCAAGTGGGTCCACTTACCTCGTCGAGATGACGTCTGCGGGCTCGCGACACACCCGGCGACGGCCGCCAAGCCTCGCGTACTGACGGGCCCCAGCCCCACGCCAGGCGCCTACTCTACTCCCGCATCCATCGATCCACCCTCCATCTCCAGAACACAACCCAAACACACCTCTATTCTCACCGCAACAGTGCTCAAAACCCAACAATGATGTATCCCACTCCGGAGGGACATCTATGACGACGATCTCTTGCTGACGTAAAGCTTCGTAATGATGATCACCGAGCTTTATTTTCGCGATATTATACAGCCTATTGTACAAATTAACCCTCTGAAAATTTGTCATACTACCGTTAATTACACTTTTGGATCTTGTTTGTTGTCTGTTTCATTTAATGTGATTAAGATAATTTTAATTAATAATGGGAGTAGGTATTTGGATTTATAGAATTTAAACAATGATTTAAAAAACAATATATTTTATTTCGTATAAGAAATCGTATCTAATAAAATCACAACATGCATACGTCATCATCAGCATCATATTTCGCACTATAGGTACAAGCATGTACCTATTTATTATTGTAATTGACACGAATGTCTAGTTGGATTTTAACCCATACAATAGAATTTTATACAATTTAATATAAATATGATATGTTTTATTGAAATATTTAGTATCTCTCGTGTTGAGGTCGTAGCGGTTTATTTGGGAGATATCATTTATATCAGGAAAGCTTTACAGATACAATTTATGTAATTGAGTTTACATTAAACATGTCTATTTTTATTATTACAATCATTTAATAATACTGATGTGAGTAGAAATGTACATATTGCCTAGTGAATCAATTCGAACTCCCGAAACAAACAGCTCATTTCAATTTCAAATTGGTCTATTAATCCATAGAGGATTGCAAAAAAGGAAGACTTTAAATTAATTCATATTGGAAAACGTACCGATACTTTAGCTAAGTATCAACAATCAACATGGAACAAATGCTAAAAATATTGACTTTTTAAAAAAAAAAATCTATTTAATTACATAACGGTTATTTGAAATGTCTAGAAAAATTACACTATTTATTCTCACCTATAAACTTATGTACAACACACAAATTGTCACACATTTAATCGTCAATAATTTATCAATATTATTATTCTTAAACACAAGATACAAATATGAAACAGTGTGCATTAATGAATTTGTATGACCACGATAAGTTATCACACAGTTATTGCACATTATTTAATTTACAAACAACATCTATGGAGAATTGTCTACTTTATTTTTGTATTAAAATTATTGACTATTACAACCTATTCATTATTTGTTTATAAAATTAAGATAGGTTGCCATTTTTATTATAATGGAGTAGAAAATATTTGAGTAAAAATATTTATTTATCAACATTTCATTCTAATACAAAGAAAGTGTACTTTTAAATAAACCCAACACAGGTACCAAGTTATTTTAATTCTTAGTATTTGTACATGTAGGTGACACAACTTATTGCTTAGGTATTTTAAAAAATATCACAAATAGATACCTATCAAAACTATTTGAAAATTATGAAGGATACAAACATTATAAGAGAGTAAAATAATTGTAAAACATGGTTTAATTTATTATTTTCAATTAAACATCGATTCCAAGTAGGTATAGACTGGCTTTAGTTGTGCATTCAACGTTGAACGTAACTTTTTTGGCGTCTATACGATTTTTATGTAAGGTATTCCTTTCTAACTATACTAATGTTATTTTCAACTGTTTTTATAAGTTTGGGCGCCATTAGGGCGTTAATTTAATGATAATATTATTGGAATGATCTAATCAGCTATCACGAAACCCCATTGGAAATGGAAGCCCAAACGCTTTATACAAATCTCAGATTTAGTAATATACAACTATAAATGTGGTGAACATAATGTGATATAATTAGATGACGTCTTATAATAAAAAACAGGCTTCAAGACCTGAAGTAATCTTGGAAGTTGTCAACAATTGCTTCTGCTCTCAAACTTATTAGACTAATGTTAATAAATATTTACAGCAGCAATAGTCCTAATATTCTTTATATACAGGTTGTACAAAAGAACGGAGTGCCTTTGGAAATTACGTAATCTTATACCTATAGTTACAGCAACATTTAATATGGGAATAATAAGGAACCCGTTCTCTTGTATAGCTCGTATAGATATGATTTCGCTAAAAATAATGTAACTATAAATTTATTTACACCCTTTAGTTACTATAAAACATTATANCTAGCCTATTAGATGACGTCTTATAATAAAAAACAGGCTTCAAGACCTGAAGTAATCTTGGAAGTTGTCAACAATTGCTTCTGCTCTCAAACTTATTAGACTAATGTTAATAAATATTTACAGCAGCAATAGTCCTAATATTCTTTATATACAGGTTGTACAAAAGAACGGAGTGCCTTTGGAAATTACGTAATCTTATACCTATAGTTACAGCAACATTTAATATGGGAATAATAAGGAACCCGTTCTCTTGTATAGCTCGTATAGATATGATTTCGCTAAAAATAATGTAACTATAAATTTATTTACACCCTTTAGTTACTATAAAACATTATATAATGTCGATAAATTGTACCATACCAGTTACAGTAGAATTGTACAGCAACATTATATGAACTAGACAGTTATTATCAATTCCGAATAGTTTAGATTTACTCAATGTAAAACTAAACTAGACTAATTTAAAAATCGTTGTTTTAATAAAAGATTTGTTTAAACTACAAAAGTCGACCGTAACAAGATTTGTAAAGCTTCTAAACAACGACTAGTAAATCACTCGGCATTTTGGCCAGTTGATATTCACTAAGCTGCTCTACTCGCCCTAAATTACGTCTAAATTCAAGTAACAATACTCCAGGTAACCAATATTTAAAAGGACTAAACGTCGTTGGTATATTAAATTTTAGGCACAAACCTATAGCACCGCGAACCTATGAAATTGATACAAATAAAAAATAGGTAAAATCATTTCAAAACAGTTCTACTGTAAATTCATCTAAAGACAATAATTTTGGTTAGTTGTTGTGCAGGTAGTGAATTTTAACACGAGGTGAATTTCCACGAAGCGTTTTTCAAATTCGAAACTTTATAGAATAGCTGCAAGAATATTTAGGATCAATTTTGTTTAATATTAAAAAACTGCATCCTTAAATTTTTGAAATTGTCACATTCCCTTAGTTTGCCAAATTACTTGGTTTTCTTAAAATCCTTTTCCAGAAAATCTGATGATAACGTTTTGGTATCCACCAAAATCGGCTAGGAGACTCCTTTCAGCATTTTCCACAATTCCAGCTTCAAATTTGGAACGACGCACACTAGAAAAGTACACTCTGTATACCGAAAGTATAGTCGGTTCGAGTAGCACAACCTAGATGTAGGTAGACTGGGTCATAAGCAGCGTGGGAGGCATAGGGGCACCGAGGGCGTGTGGGCCCGCGGGCGCGAGTGCTATAAGTCCGTTTCGGTCCACTGCTAGTCGCCGCGCCGCACGCGCCGCGCCGCCGCCGTGTTGTGGCGGTATAGCCACACCTGAAACAACAAATAATCGAATAAATCGTCGCTTATGTAACCCTTGGTAACAACTGTAGTCTGCAACTGGCTATGCAATGGTGATATTTATCATAGAAATAGCTAAGTAGAGTCCTGGTGCAAAAAACCTGGTGTTTTTACAAGTTTCGAACGCTTTGCATCAACGTAAAGAAAGTCATGGGTTCAAATTCCAACCATATTTAAAATGAAAAATCGTACTTATTCAAGACAATTTTACATATTCTCTACATTACAGTAAATTCCATACAAAAAAGGGGCTTTTCGACCACTTTTCGACTGGTTTGCGATTATAATTTGCACTTTGTCTAGACCCACAGATTTTCTCGGATGAAATGTAACCTAAGTAGACGTGACAGAGCATATAAATCTCAAGTCTTGCAAACGTTTGACGTTACAAAAACACTCTCCCTTGCCGCTCCCATACATCAGGTACTGAGTGAAGCCACGGTAATACTATCTGTACAGTATTCCAACTTGGCCATATTTTTGAAATAAATGTCATCAGCCGCGCGGTACGTCACCGTATGACAACATGCGATAGGGCTGCTCACCTACAGTACCCATTTTAATTACATCTGCGTACTTAGAATTTGTATATCTAGTTTTGTGATTGTAATTTTTTTTGAGACAAACAAAATACTTTGTGAATGGAATAGGATAAAAATGCGTGTTGTTTTGTGATTAGTAGATTTAATTTTAAAAACTACTAAAATAATTTTGAAAATTTGCTAAACATAATAACCTGTTACTTTAATTTCAGGCGGGCAAAGTCATGGTGGTATAAAACCAGCTTTTGCCCACGACTAAACTTGTATAATCATTTTTGATAGTTAATGACTAGTTTTTGACCAAATTGACCGTAAATGACGGTCAGTCAAATTCAATCACTAGTCATTTTCAACACTAGGCCACCGACGTCTGTTCAGCACATTCGTGACACCCCCGACTTTTGCATGTCGAGCGCATACCGAGATTTGAATTTCGAAGGAAAGCTCGCGTTTCGTCCGTTTATATGAAGTTACAATACTGTATGATATTATTACCGTGGTGAAGCGATAGACCGATATGACATCTACCTAGCACATGGTATATACTGGTATAGCACCGAATATGTATTTAAAATAGCTGACCCCGTGAACTTTGTATTGCTTAACAATCAATAAATGGCGTGATATTTTATAAATTAAGAAGAGATAAGTAAGTCATAATAAACGTGTGTGGCGTGTATTTTTGTTAATTGCTCCGCCGTATCCAATATTGTGGAGATCCAAACCTCATTTGTCTAACAATTAATTTTCTTTGTATTTTGTGAGGTTTTCCGATATTTAAGTGGTTTTTTCGCTAGTCAGGCTGGAGACGAGTCCAACGATCGTTCTTGAGTTTTAAATCTATACTAATATTATAAACTAGCGGCCGCCCGCGACTTCGTACGCGTGGATCCCGTTTTACCCGCTTCATCTGTCTTACGCGGTTTAGATTTTTTCATACAAAGGTTTTTTCCCGCTAACTCCCGTTCCCGCGGGAATTTTGCAATATCCTGTTGTAACTAAGCTTTAAGTTTACTAAGGTACCTGCATGCCAAATTTCAAGCGTCTAACTGAAGCGGTTTAGATTTTTCATACAAAATGATTTTCCCGCTAATTCCCGATCCCGTGGGAATTTCGGGAATTCCTTGTTTTAACTAAGCTTTCAGTTTATAAAGGTATCTACATGCCAAATTTCAAGCGTCTAACTTAAGCGGTTTAGAGTTTTCATACAAATGGATTTTCCCGCGAATTCCCGATCCCGTGGGAATTTCGGGAATTCCTTGTTGTAACGAAGCTTTAAGTTTACTAAGGTACCCACATACCAAATTTCAAGCGTCTAACTTAAGCGGTTTAGATTTTTATACAAAAGGATTTTCCAGCTAATTCCCGTTGCCGTGGGAATTACGAGTATTACTTATTGTAACTAAGCTTTAAGTTTACTAAGGTACCTACATGCCTTTCAAGCGTCTAACTTAAGCGGTTTAGATTTTTCATACAAAAGAAATTTCCCGCTAATTCCAGTTCCCGTGGGAATTCCTAAGTATACTATAACCTGCCCAGGAGTATGAAGAATAATCGTACCAAGTTTCGTTAAAATCCGTCGAGTAGTTTTTGTTTCTATAAGGAACATACAGACGGACAGACAGACAGACAGACAAAAATTTTACTGATTGCATTTTTGGCATCAGTATCGATCACTAATCACCCCCTGATAGTTATTTTGAAAATAAATTTCATGTACAGAATTGACCTCTCTACAGATCCCAACTAATATTATAAATGCGAAAGTAACTCTGTCTGTCTGTCTGTCTGTCTGTTACGCTTTCCCGCTTAAACCTCGCAACCGATTTTGATGAAATTTGGCATGGAGATAGTTTGAGTCCCGGGAAAGAACATAGGATAGTTTTTATCCCGGTTTTTGAAACAGGGACGCGCGCGATAAAGTTTTTCTGTGACAGACAAAATTCCACGCGGGCGAAGCCGCGGGCGGAAAGCTAGTTTATTATAAGTATAGATGCGAAAGTAACTCTGTCTGTCTGTCTTGCTTTCACGCCTAAACCACTGAACCGATTTTGATGAAATTTGGCATAGAGATAGTTTGAGTCCCGGGAAAGGATATAGGATAGTTTTTATCCCGGTTTTTGAAACAGGGACGCACGCGATAAAAATTTTCTGTGATAGACAAAATTCCACGCGGGGGAACCGCGGGCGGAAAGCTAGTGGTGTATAAATAGAAAAGAAAATAAAATGCTATAGCTATGAAAACTTACTTGGAAGAGAATTACTACATCTAAGGAGACTTGAAGCGCTCCACACACCCAAAACTGCGTCGGGGCTTCTCTTAAAACGAAATAAGCAGTCTTGAAAACGTCACCACAAGTCCACATTATCACCATGCTAACACTGAAAATAAAAAAAAACGTAATGTCATTAAAACGCAGCAAAAACAAAGGACGGGGGCTGCTTATCTTTTTTTTATATCGTGTGAGTCGTAACTATGTAATAATTACTTTTTAGTGTCTCATTTTAGCCACACATGTATGACTTTAGCCGACGCGATGCGCCGTATTAGTTACCTAAACTGTCCGAAGCTCGTATTGAAATTTATTTTCGACACAATCTGCAAAGAAATCTGAAAACTGCAGTTTCTGCTAATTGGGGCATAGATACAAAAAAATATTTAAAACAATGTCACCAGGGAATCGCACTCAGAAACTTTAGTGAATGATAGAGTCCAATTTTATCTGCCTTGCCTACTACATTTTCAACCGACTTCAAAAAAGGAGGAGGTTCTCAATTCGACCCGTATGTTTTTTTTTTCTATGTTTGTTACGCGATAACTCCGCCAATTATGAACCGATTTGAACAAATCTTTTTTCGGTGTATAGGTAATACCTCAAGGGTGGTCCCATTTAAATTTAATAATAGAAAAAACAACCCCCAAGGGTGGAAAATTGGGGATGAACTTTTTTATACGCAATATCTCCGCCGATTATAAATCAATTTGAACGATTATTTTTTTGTTGAATAGGTATTATCAAAAGGGTGGTTTCATGCGAATTTGAAGAAAATATTTCACCCCCAAGGGTGGAAAATTGGGGATGAACTTTTTTATACGCAATATTTTTAATTTTTAGTTTTTTTTTGTGTTCACGCATTTGAAGTCGGTTTTATTTTTTTTTAAAGTTAATTATTAAAACTAGACATGATATTAAAAGCTCTTTCGCGAACTTGAATACAAATATGATCCATCTGTTTCTATTAGAATTCACAGTAGAGTTACATTAAAGAATATTGCTTAGCAATCATGAAGGTTTAATCAAATCGCATTTAAAAACTGTATATTTTAAGACTCATATCAATTATTATCAGTGTAGTTAAGTGCATTCCCATCCATCTACTTTTATATTCTGCTTACACAAGATCTGATAAAGAATTGATAATGTAGTCTGATACGCACCTCATCCCTTCGGTACTTTTGTTTTGATGATTTTTGGCAATCTGTGGCGCGCCGAGCATGGCTTCCGTGAATACGGCTAGGAAGCCGATCAGCTCAACGAACGGCGAGAACTCTATCAGTAGGTACGTCACCGCCGCACCAAATACTGAGAATACGAGCATGCAGTCCAAGTAGCTTTGGAAGTCTGTCCATGCCCAGAAATACTTTCTGTCCATATCTGAAAAAAAAAAAGTGTTACTGAAAAGCTTTTACATGTAGTATGGTCGACGGCACATCGTGGCTTTAATAAGTGCTTGCAAATGTAAATTCTGATGTGCTGGCGACGGTATCATTATCATTGATTGTTTCAACAATACCTTCATACATTTATTTATTTCTTTTGTTTTATGTATAAAAAATATTTACAGTAATTTTTCATATGAAAACAACGGTCCACTTTACCCACCAACCAATTTTGCAAAATGCGTCGGTCTGGCAAAAGGATCCCTAGCCACAAAATAATTAAATTAACAGAAAGATAAAGAAAATAAATAACAAAAAAAATCCGAATTAAAAAAACAGCCGGTAAGTGAAAACCTACATAAATTAAGAAACTACGAACTATCGTAAGATGAATGAATTGGAAATAATAATAACTATCTTCTGCCGCGTGTATTTCGGTCTGTCACTGAGTCTTTATCGCGCGTGCGTCTCAATAAGAAGCTATTTATTATAAAAAAAAGTCATTGAAAAAATCATATGATAAGTTTCTCACAAAAAGTTTTATTTTATTGTAATTTATCTTGATAATGCGATGTTTTATAGTTATTCTCGGATAACTTTCCAAAGTTATAAAAGTTTATGAGAATGAGTGGATTGATCCAGATAAGGACATCCTTCGGAAATGTTAACCAATAGTGATTGATAAGAGGATAGATTGCGAGGTAGGACCGTCGGAACTAACTGTTCACCAGGGAAAAGTGTACCCTTGTTTTCAGAGGTGTTATTATAAATGGAACATTAATAATGTTTGTGTACCTTCCCTCGTAATTTTTTAAGTAAGTATTGGTTCATTACAAATGGTCTAAAACTAGTATTAAAATGCGACAACCTTAAATATCCGAAACCAGCATTACACATGAACATAAATGGTTGGTCCCAAAACCTTGATGCAGTAAAGCGTATGATTAGAATAAATTTTATAACACATGCAAATTTGAACTCATCACAAATAACTTGAATAACATAGTAATAGTAATTACATAGTCTTTAAGATAACAAACAATCATAACTAATAAGGAAAGCGTTACAGGCAAATGACATCCATAGATAACATTGCAGACACACAAATTTGACCCGGGCATTGCTCTGTCAGTCAATTCAATATAGATAATGGGCACTGTATGTTACAACAAAAAATATAATAAGAACTAACCAGACTTGATCAAAATTGTCTCTTTATTTCACAAAAATAGGTGTAATACTTTGTTCTAAATCATTCTAGGTATTTTATCCAACAAAAAATAAAAACAATAAATAAAAAATTATAATCAAAATCTGATTACCCATAACATAACATTATAAAAAAATAAGATCACAAAACCATCCAAACACAATGGCAAAGCATGACGATTATTGAATGCTGAAACAAAAATAATAAAGATGACTAATCATTAAAACATGAATGCAAACATCAATGATCGAAGTCCCGATTGGACTCTTACCATAGAAGCGGCGAGGTTTTTCCCGCCCTGCGATGCCGCTGCGTTGGTCGAGCCAGTGTGCAGTTTCGTCGGGCTGGGCTGATCCATTCACACAACACAACAGTATATATAACATGAATATTGCACCTAATGTCCATCATTTACACCAACCACCAAAGAGAACATAAAATAATATTAACATAAAATGAAAATTAGTATAAAACACATAATATAAAGTAATACATAAAAATATAATATTAGTTGGTCAAAACAAGCAACTAAAATTAACAAAATAAAAAAAAAGTAACAAGCAAAAAATAACAAAATAAAAAAGTAATAAAATAATAATAATACTTGCCAATGAACTCAACAATTTTATGATAAGAATTTTCACTTGATTTAAAATAAAATTTTTAGGCTTTGTCTAAGTTTACATAAATGGATTTTGGATTAATTAATTTTTTTTATTATATTGCTTTCATAGTAACATTATTATTAGTGAGTACATAAGTCACCAGACTATAATTTGTTGTTAATGTTGTTTTATAGAACTTTCTCGAAATAACTGCTTATGAAAATGCAGACAAATTAGCAAATAATTAATTAATTTTACTTAATAAATACCCAATACCTAGAAATAAAAATTGATTTCATATTATGGTACATACCTGTAAATATTCTTTCTCTAGCCCTTATGATTTGGTTCTTTTTACGGACAGTCACACAAAGGTGAATCATGACAAACATTGTTATGTTCATAACAATACTTTGTATTAATAGTGGTAATTCATAACGCTTTCCAAACCTGAAAGACAAAAGAGCAAACAATTTATAATCCACTATGAACCAAATTATAGAATTTATTTTCATTGTAATCATCACTGATATTAAAATACTGGTTCTTAATGAATTGCATTAATTATTATGCTGCCTACTAATGACATCTGGTAGGTATTAGATTTAGTATTGAATTAAAATACAAATAGGTATGAATGTCTGGAGTAATAAACTAAGGACAGATTGTTTTAAATTCTAATTAATGTAACGCAAATTACGCAAATGATGATCTAAATACGCACCAAAATAATATCCTAAGAGTATTGGCTATAAGAAGAGCTAAACAGACATAAAGGGAAAAGCCTTCAGCATCCTGTGTCCTTCTTATTTGCCTGTATTGTGGAATGTATGGCGCTACACCTCCAATAATCATAGCACCAGCCGCTCCCCAGCCCACGAGATGGCCCACAGTCAGACCCAACTCATCCGAAATAATCCAATCCATTATTTACAAATTTAAACGTATCCTCGTAGATGCACCAAGTAATAAATTAAATTCGATGGCTATTTATAAGTAAAGACTACACACATATCTTTTTTACAACAAATCCATTGTTGTTGAACCACAAATATTTAAAAAATGTACATTAATTTTAGGGAACGACGAACAAGCAAACAACAACTTCACATGAAGAATTTTACCACACACAAATCAATCGATAGTTATAGTTGTCAGCTGTCATAACCCGTCATCACCACAGATCTGTGGTCATCACCGTCATGCTGTCAATAACGTCAACGGAGATAATATCAGACATAGATAGATAATCCTATTGTGATATGAGCATTTAATTTTATAGCATCAACATCGGTCATTACTTCCCCCCTAAAGGGGTTCCCAGGCCCCCTCCTGTAAAATAGCCCTAGAACTAGATGCGCCAATAACGCAATAACATCAGTAACATCACGCTTGGTTGGGACATGGGATTTTTTGCTTTTGAGAGCAAAGAGCATGCCCTATTCTTTACTTATATCTCTGTTATACCTACCTTACCATCTGAAAGCAGGGACACACAAGGAGCGCGCGCGCCTTTAGGCGCCTATTTTATAGCATATAACGGAACGTACGTGGCCTAAATTTGACATTGATGTGAGATGTCACTGTCATTACTGTCAATGTCAATCGTCAACAGCTGGGAGCCAGAGGTTAATTTTACATAAATTGCATTAAAAAACAAAACCAAATAATTCTAATCATTGTTCATTTAATTTTGCCTAATAATATGACAATCATTTCAAAATTTTTGCCAACTGTTCGAATCATTAGAACGGTTGAGTTTGCTCCTGCAATAACACAAGTGACTAAATTTGGATACAGCCGGTGTTATTCAACAGATAAGGACACAAGTTTGGCGAAAAGTAAAGAAAGAGCGGAAGTTTCCACAGATGTGCGACCCATTGGAGAAAAGATTAAAGAAACGACAAAGACCGTATCCTATACTGGAGTAATTTTGCTCGGTGTTGGAGTTACTGGCATTATATTTTACTATGTCTTCAGAGAGCTATTTTCAAGTAATAGCGCCAATAGCATTTATTCAACAGCTCTCGAAAAGTGTAAAAATGTAAGTTTATTTTAAATTTATTAATTAGATTTTTTGGATTTGGAATAATTAGAGAAGTTTATTATTTTAAAAGAAATGATCTCCTAAATAAACTTAGGGTTGACTTCCATTACCTTATTCCAGGACCCTAGGGTGGAAGATGCCTTAGGTGCACCAATAAAAGGATATGGAGAAGAAACATCTCGCAGGCGGAGGACTCATGTCAGTCATGCTGTGTATGAAAAGGATGGAGTCAAACACATGAGAATGAAATTTTACATCAAAGGCATTAGGAATAAAGCTGTAGTTGAATTGGACATGAAGCAGGTATGGTATGGTTTGGTAGCCTGACTATTGTTTGTTTTATTTAGTTTTCATCATCATTCCACCATAAAATATCATTGTACCACATATAAACATATGCAGCATAATGCTTTCTTTATAGTTTAGCATTAATTAGAAGAATTCTTGTTTCAGAATGATTATGGAAATTATATGTGCCGGTACTTGTTGGTCCAACTCGATGACTACAGTGGAAAAACATTTATTATTGAAGATAATAGAGCTGAGCTGGACACACAAACTAAATTTGGAGGGGCCCTGCCAACTCTAACGCTCAGTCAGTAATGTTAGTGTGAAAAACTGTATGTATAATTTGTAAATTGAATATAAGATAAGTAGTAATTATTAAATTGTTATTTAGTTAAATACTGGTATTATTTAATCCTAATGTTAGTTGTATGTACCTAACTCAATCAATGAAACAAATATGTTATCAATTTGGTATATTTTATCACTTTGGTTGTATGAATAAATTGGCTAGTGTGAGATCTTTGGTGGTTTCTCATATTATGTCAGTGTTTCTTCCATGGCACCACTTCCCAAGCCATAAGAAGACGATTATTAAATACAAATTTCTTAATTCTATTAAAGATCCAGTAGAACACAACAACTAAAGACAGGTACTGTGGCCAAGCCCATTTTAACTCTTGTAATATACTTGGAAGATATCTAATCAACATTTCTGGCACTCTGAGGTAAATATTTATTTCCATGGAAGAAGTGTGACCATTTTGACTTCTTGAATGTAGAGTCTTTACTTGGGTAGTAACTGAAAAGGATTGTAAGATTATTAGAAGTCTATTTATTTTTCCATAATAACCATAGTTATTTATAGACAAAAATTTCCATATTACTCACCTTCTCTACTAAAATAGTTTTCTAGGATAAGATCCACAACATTGTCATTGTTATTATTTTTATGGTTGAATAAAGAGCTGTTGTATTTGGTATGAATTATATTTGGTTCACATGGCAGGTGTGACACTTGGTAGAGCTCAATATCCCCATAGAATTTCAATCCAGATGGTGCTACTGGAAATGCATTGTCAATGACGGCTAAACTCTGCATTTGCAATGGGCATACTGACTGAAAAATAAAATACCATAAATGTAATAATTAATAAGCAACTTTATAATAATATGTAGGTATGATAGTAAATAGTATTTTCTGAATTTACCTTCAACTTGAATTCCAAACCAAGAATTATGAGAACTGAAGTGATAGTCCTGTGTTTTGGTACATTCAGATTTAATTTGAAGTTTAAAGCTTCATGCTTTCCATCATAATTGTAGTCAAATTCTTGGACCTTTTGTAATCAACATGAATAATTAATGTAGGCTTAAATTAATTATGATAAAAAAGTATTGAAACATAAGTTATGTGATGGTATGTTACATTACTTGTAGTTGTGCGCAGTTTTCTTCTCCATTTAGAGCGTCTTCGTTCAGGAGAGCAGCTTCTCCACATACTATTGGCTGACTAGGATCATCGGTTTCTGCTACTACTAAATATTCGTAAGTAAAACGAACTAATGGCTGCTCGTAAAAGGTATGCGAACGCAACCAGAATCCTAAAAAATAGCAATAGGTAAAGCAACAAGACAGAAATGATAATTTTCATTTGCTTGTCGGTTCTATTGATCCACTCACCTTTACTTTTGTAGGCAACAATAAAAGGCAAAACTATATTCAACATAGTTGTTATCAACGTAAACAGCATAGCTTTCGATAAAAGGCAACTTTTATACTGAATTTCCACATTGCAACTGAACAATTTATACAGACCCATTTTGAACCGCTCTACCACGACTTACCCGACCACTTACTTATTATTTCTTTGCTTAGCTAAAAGTTAAAATAAAATGGATGTGTTTGTGCTTAATTACGTTGTTCCCCATGAAAACTTAAATAAACACAGCACATAATCGCTCAATAAACACAACAGCAACAAATTACGGCTTGTTTTCAGTCGTTGTCAATGTCACATAGAACTTCTGTCAATTTGTTACCATAGCAACACAAATGTAAGCCCAAGCACACAGGACATGCGCGCGCCGTCAACTCGACTTGCTCTACTATATTTTACCCGACTGCGCCAGAAGGAGGGTTATTGTTATTACGCTATGTTATATTCATTAAGTTAGTCACAATAATAATACTTAATATTAAAAACACTGTCGTACTCCACACAAAATAAAACAAGAAGGGAAACAATACAAAAAGATACAGTATAATTTAGGCGGTCCTATCGCTATTAAGTGATCTCTTTCAGACAATATAGCTAGGAAGAGGACACAATTAATGTTTTAATGCAACAAAGTAACAGAAAGTTGCTTCATTTAAGTTTAGCTGCGCAGTTGACGCGAGCACATACGGGGTCGACGACACGCCTGAAAAAGAAATAGCGCCTAAGAGAAAAATTCAACATGAATTATTATTAAAAAAATAAGTTTAAAAAGGTTTTGGTTTTAAATATTGTGTATGTAGGTTCATAATATGGTTCTGCCCGCGACTCTACTATCCAGAAAGCTTCACTTACTTAAGCAGTTTCTAGCTCTATCACCTACTTAACTACTCGTAAGTAAAACCGATGCTTCACATCGTTCGTTCCTTTTAGCCCAATTACGTCCACTGCTGGACAAAAGCTTCCCGGGGAAGTCATCCCCAAGGATTTCCATAATCACTTCATGTTTGATTTATATTTATTTTTCAATTCAAGTTAATTTTTGTTGAGGTACCTACTTATTTTACATAATGCTGAAGAAGAAAATCTTTTGGTTAATAAATTCAACTATCTGATGGACCTGAAAACAATCTAAGGCCACATTGAAAAAAATCTTGTAAGGTAGATATTATTTGGTAATATGAAAACAAAGATAAACCAAGTACAGCTCTCTTTCTCTATTTTACTGCTTTTCCTAAGCCGTTAGGGCTTTTCAATGTTTAAAAAAATGTAGTACTTTGAAGACTTTATTTGTTGTAAATCTATTTAGAAATAATTACAATGTCTATTATAGTTATTGTCAATGATTTTATTTTTATATACTTGGAGCTTCCGTAACACGGATTTGGGAACAAGACAGTACGGCAATACTTAATTTCTCGAAGATAGTACGGCAATACTTAAGTTGCTTAATTTGTGAACGTTTGTTAACTAAATAAGTCCTTTGTTTTATTTTTCTGCTAATTACCTTAATCTAAGTACTTGGTAGGCCTACAGAAGCTGGTGTCAATTACTAGTGTAACGTGGGTGCTCGTCCTATAACAAAAGACGTGCTGTCAAAGTTTAAAACAAAGGAGTAAAAAGGCTGGACTCGGACTGTTAGTACAGTCAGCAACAAAAGTGTTTAAAGATTTTTTTTATCTCATTTTAACTTGTGGTTTACATTTCAAAGACCAGCTCTTTCAAGAGGATTACTTATAAAAATAGCCCACTACCAGAATAATAAGCACATGGACAAGCCATTATCTAATCGTAAATGTTTACGAATGATACGAAATTTTGTGCTACTTGTAGTCTTCTCACGAAATATGACGTTCGAGTCGAGAGTTCTAATGATAATAAACTATAAACCATCTTGGTCATCGCCAACCAGCTAAGAAGGTAATAGGTAGTCCTACTTTACTGCCTCTCACACATTTTTGTGGGTAAGTGTCTGTGTGTGTTTTTACAGTTTTTGGGATTTTAGATTTTCATAAGTACTAGGTATAATTTATGTAGGTTAGTGTTTAGATTTATACTTTAAATTTAGACTCTATATAGGATCCAAATGGTATCTCATAATTCTCTATTATGTAACTATTTGAATAATATATCGTAGGTAAGTAGCTCCATACCTACTTTGTGCGTGTCGGTGGACAGATCCCGTTTNGGGCTCCCTCCACAGCTGAGTTGACACTGCGGGAATCTATCATGGATGGTAGAGCGAAAAAGGCAAACTGGTTCGGGAAGAGCGCTCGCAAAACCTTGTCTAGCAGAGCCTGCTCTTTAGTCAGTGGAGGACCAATAGGCTGTAGTTGGTTTCTAGCATAAAATCTCCCACAGTTAGTATCGTCGTCCAAACTTGCGAGCATTTCTGCCCTCGCTCGGTCTTTGGCGGCTCCGATTTCATAAAGGCAAGCCATATGACGGGTCTCGTGAACGTTTACGCCAGCTACGAGTGAACGCAGCTCAGCTAGTTCAGCCGACCACCAGTAGACAGCACGACAAGGTGTGCGGTAGCGTGATCGAGGCATGTTAACATCACACACCTCAATTAACGATTTTCTTAATTGGATGGCCGCCATATCACCGTCCGTGACTATCGCATACGAATGCAGCCTCCTTGGCCATCTCCCGATCAAAGCGGGTAAGCGCCCATCTGGGTAAGGGAGAGGAAATTGAGCGGGTCGCTCCCGCACCCTTCATTGCTCCAGTGCGGTTAGAGCGGGAGTAGCACACGAAACGTCCACCACTAACCCTCCCTGCTATCGCACACTCGTGTGCACCGTCCCTCTACCCAAAAGGGATGGGGAGGCTACTACAATGATTTTTGTGCAAATGAAAATTTTCTACCTTGTATAACTTTTTATCAACGCGACGTACAGAATAAATAAAAATACTTACTTAAACAATTGAAATTTTATCGTCTTTATACTTCTCAAAGACATTTTTCTCATATAGTCAACTATTGAAGCGTTAAATGTAAAAAATAATTAATGTTCGGCCCTTTAACTCAAGATGGTGACTAACGCTCTGACCTCTCGAGTTCGAAAACATACTTTTTTCATAACTAGCCCATACATAAAAATATACTTAATACAAATTAAAACATTTTACTTTCCACCTTTTGCAGGAAAAAAATACCAATTGATTGGACTATTAAGTTTAAGAAAATATGTCATAGCATGAAAAATGAGAAAACATCAATTAAATTAGCCTTTTTTTTGACAAAACTCATTAAGTAGGTAGTCGCAGGGCGGCATAATCGGTTTTGCACGCGGGCGACGAAACAGCTAGCGGCGGGCCTGCATCCAAACATCATGACATCCAAACTTTCGCATTTATAATATTAGTAGGATTACAATGTCTAGTTATTGACAATGATTTTATTTTTATATGCTTGGAGCTTCCGTAACACGGATTTGCGGTAGTGGGAACAAGATAGTACGGCAATACTTAATTTCTCGAATTTCTGAGTTGCTTAATTTGGGAACGTTTGTTAACTAGATAAGTTCTTTGTTTTATTTTTCTGCTAATTACCTTAATCTAAGTACTTGGTAGGCCTACAGAAGCTGGTGTCAATTACCTAGTGTAACGTGGGTGCTCGTCCTATAACAAAAGACGTACTGTCAAAGTTTAAAACAAAGGAGTAAAAAGGCTGGACTCGGACTGTTAGTACAGTCAGCAACAAAAGTGTTTAAAGATTTTTTTTATCTCATTTTAACTTGTGGTTTACATTTCAAAGACCAGCTCTTACAAGAGGATTACTTGTAAAAATAGCCCACTACCAGAATAAAGCACATGGAAAAGCCATTATCTAATGGTAAATGTTTACGAATGTAAGTTAAATTTTGTGCTACTTGTAGTCTTCTCACGAAATATGACGTTCGAGTCGAGAGTTCTAATGAAAACAAACTATAAAACCATCTTGGTCATCGCCAACCAGCTAAGAAGGTAGGTACTTTACTGCCTCTCACATGTTTTTGTAGGTAAGTGTCTGTGTGTGTTTTTACAGTTTTTGGGATTTTAGATTTTATAAGTACTAGGTATAATTTATGTAGGTTAGTGTTTAGATTTATACTTTAAATTAAGACTCTATTTAGGATAAAAATGGTAACTTATAATTCTCTATTATGTAACTATTTGAATAACATACCGTAGGTAAGTAGCTCCATACCTAGTTTGTGCGTATCGGTGGACAGATCCCGTTTAGGTGCCGCTTGGTGAGCACAAACAATAGGACTGCCAGAAACCGAGCCGAGCAGGCGCCGCTACTGACAACTGACACCTTAGCGGTGAACGATCCTAGAACAAGTCTCCGACTATAAAAGGGCTCCAAAAGTTGTCAACATCAGCATTCGCTCTGGTGTCAACCCGGAGCACAGTGCGCTCCACAGCGGAGACGGTCAAATCGACTCTACGTACAGCATTTACGCCAAGATGTCCATGGTCCGCAGATCTAGTATGGACAGGATGTCCTCAAGCATGACATCCAGCATGACTGGAATGGGACTTGGTGGCATAACTGGACTAACATCTGGAATGAGCACTCTCAGCTGCATGAGGGAGCAGCAGATGACTGTTGGTGGGATGCCTTCGAACTACGTGCCTGGTCTATCGGCGTATTACAATATTTCGAGTTTCTGTCAGCGCCCTGGGCAAACCCGTCGCTGGCCGATGCAGCGAGCGGGGCCCACGGCGCAGCATCGCCCTGGACGTTCCCATAGCACCGGATCGTTGCATCGCATGAAGCATTCCATGAGGAATAGCCCGAACACCCAATACACTCATAACTTGATCTGTAAGATGGCAGATCAGAATGAGCGTCGTCGTCGTCAAGACACCATGGATATGATTCCTCAAAGTTATTACTCGCAGCAACCGTTGAAAGTAGAGCTCACTGAGTTTTACTCGCGAGATAACTCCAAGGATCACCACACTGAGCAATATGACTTGGTGAACGATAACATTCTACCCAACCCTGTGTTGAGAAGGGGGCAGAACTTCTTCTTCGCCGTTCGATTTGATAGAACTTATGACAAGCAGCAGGATATGATCCGCGTCGTGTTCTGCTTTGGTAAATATTCTTTTTGTACGGTGTTTAAGTTACTTAGTCCATCATTAATTTTTAAATAATGTAAATATGCCTAATAAATACATTTTATTTCACAGGACCTAAACCGAGCGTCACCAAGGGTACTCGGATTGTCTTGCCTGTGAACTGGAGCAATCAGCAAGGAGTCTTCCAACATTCTCGTGACATGATGGGAATGGGCATGGGCATGGGCATGTCTCGAATGCAAGATACTAGCACGGCCATGGGCACCATGGGCTCTATGGGTACTATGGGCACAATGGGAACGATGGGTACAATGGGAACTATGGGTACCATGGGTTCCATGGGCCCAATGAGCGGCATGAGGGAAACAACTACTTATGGTGTACGTCGTAGCTCCTTCAGTAACGAGCCATTGCCACTGCAGCACAGCCCGCTCAGCCCTCATGGGCCTATGGACAGACCAATGATCGATCGTTATGGTGGAACTACGCAGCATTCCACCTTCGGCCGTGGATATGGTTCACGCCATGGGTCTCGGCACGGGTCCATGCAGAACTTGGCATCTCTTGCTCATGATATGGATCGGTGGGACATTAGCATCCAAAGACAAGATGGAAATACGATCACTTTCCAAGTTCACGTGCCGGCCACCGCTCCTGTGGGTGTATGGAACTGCTGGGTTCAGACCAACCGCTTTGGCCAGCGTGACAACCGCCACGATTACAAATGTGACGAAGATGTCTACATTCTGTTCAACCCATGGTGTCGTGAGGATCCCGTTTACATGGATAACGAATCTTCAAGGAAGGAGTACGTTCTTAATGAGCAAGGGAAAATATGGTGTGGCACATGGCGCCAGCCCAAGGGACGCAAATGGATTTATGGCCAGTTTGATGACGTGGTTCTACCTGCTTGTATGTACCTGCTGGAACGCAGTGGTCTCGAGCACTCAGAGCGCGGTAATCCGATACGAGTTTGCAGGGCTATTTCAGCAATGGTGAGTTGTAAAAAATTTTATCTACTTAATTGGTACTCGTAGTTAACAAAAGTTATATTTTTGTAATTATACAAAACAAAAGTTATATTTTTATAATCAAATCAATTTTTAGATCAATTCAAATCACGACGACGATGGGCTCATGGTAGGTCGTTATGACGGCGAATATAAGGATGGCGTGGCACCACATGCTTGGACGGGATCGGTGGCCATCTTGGAACGTTACTTGACAGATGGCGGTAGACCAGTTGAATACGGGCAGTGCTGGGTATTTTCTGGTCTTGTCGTTACCATTTGCAGAGCTTTGGGTAAAGCTATAGAATCATTTTTTTTACTAAGATTATTAGCATTTTGAGAAAAAGTCTAATGTCTATTTATGATGCAGGTATCCCATGCCGTTCGGTTACCAATTACGTATCCGCTCATGACACCAACCGAACCTTCACTGTCGACAAGTACTTTGACCGTGATGGCAACGAAGTGCCTAATGGTCCAGATGAGGACTGCTACGACTCCTGCTGGAATTTCCACGTCTGGAACGATGTTTGGATGCAACGTCCGGACTTGCCTCAAGGTATGTATGCTGCTTATAATAATATGAACTGAGAATAATCAAGTCATCATCAATATTATTATACGTATATTTTCTGCTACTTTAGGATACAGTGGCTGGCAGATCATCGATTCTACACCCCAGGAGGAAGCAGAATCGGTGTACCACTGCGGTCCCGCCAGTGTTGAAGCGGTCCGTCGTGGGGAGGTTGGATTCCAATACGACACCCCGTTCATGTACTGCCAGCTTAACGCTGAACTTTGCCACTTCCAAGAGGAAGACAACTCGGAATGGGGATTCATCAGAATGGCTTCGAATCAATATCAGTAAGTAGATTGACTTTGGAGAACCTTAGGAGACAAAAAAACAATGGTAAATAATGTCTTGTGTAAAATTTACAGAGTGGGCCGCAAAATTCTTACCAAGAATCCTAACCGTGATGACGACGAAGGTGAAAGCGACATGCTTGAGATCACTCACGAATACAAGACAGTGGATAGCTCGTCTCCTGAACGCCTCGCAGTGATCGCCTCTTGCCGTGGCTACCAGCGCCTGCAACAGTATTACGAATACCCTGACCGCAACTTCGAGGACGTTTACTTTGATCTTATGGACATTGACATTGTACCATATGGACAGCCTTTCGACTGCACCATGAATATTCAGGTTCGACTGAACTGATTTTGGATTCTTTGGTTTCTTCACTTTAACAGAATAATGACACCTTTATTGTTACCCACAGAATAAATCTCACGAGGATCGTACCATTTGGTGCGTGTTGACTGCATCCTCTTGCTACTACACTGGAGCGATTGCATCTCGGCTCCGAAGGGCTCAGGGTGAATTCATAGTGAGGGCTGGCCAGCGTGAAGTTCTCAAGCTACACGTCACACCCCAGGAGTATATGGACAAGCTGGTAGACCATTCCATGATCAAGGTGCATGCTATGGCATACGTCAAGCAAACGCGTCAGGCCTGGTCCGATGAAGATGACTTCCCGCTTCACAAGCCAAGGATGCAAGTGCAGGTGGGTGCCACATTGATGTACTTTAAAAGACTTGTCCTGCAACTATAATTTATTGTTATTTACATTTTGTGGCTGATAAATGAATGATGTTTTAGGTGAGGAGTCAACCATGCATGGGACAAGAATGCGCTGTGACGTTCAGCTTCCAGAATCCTTTGAACGTTCATCTCACCGACTGCTACTTCACATTCGAAGGGCCCGGCGTGCAGAGGCCACGACAGGTTTGTTTCGGATTGGTTATGAATTTCAGTAAATTAATACTAGGACGAGGAGCTCATTGATGATTTCTTTTGCAGATCCGCTTCCGCGACGTCAAGCCGGGTGAGTTCGTGAACTACCAGGACAAGTTCGTGCCACGACGACATGGGGAACGTCGTATTGTGGTGACGTTCTCGTCGCGGCAGTTGGACGAGATCTTCGGTTGCACGATGGTGAACGTGCGCGGCTAGCTAGCCCCCGGGCCCCGAGCGGCCTCGCCGCGAACATCCCCGGGGCCTACCTCTCCTGCCGCGGCGCAAATGGAACGCTCCTACGTTTCTTATGTAGCGCCGGAACAACACTTGTATGTTCAAGAGGAGGAAGTCGTCATCTTAAAATCCATATAACGCCGTACATGGTCGTGTTAACGTGTAACTTCCTCACAAACTTTTTAAGGCTCTGTACACAACAGTGTTCAGTCTCAGTGTTGACTAGATTTAATTTTTCTATTTACTTTACTATAACTACGACGACTTGGCTTACGAAAGGGACATATTTATCGATAATTCAGCTGTGTGCGACACATTCACCGATCAAATGCATAAAATAATAAAAAAAAACCTCACATTTTTGTCACTGTGTGAATTTTATTAAGTTTATATTTTTATGGGTTATGTGTTGTTTTATGTAATTGTAAGGATATAACCGATGCTCCAAGTGCCATCTATCTTATTTAATTATAAGTATTATAATTTTAATAAGGTTTAGGTTTAAGGTAATGGAAATTAATTATTAATTTGTATTATAAGTATGTAATGTCGAAAATATGATTTTTTATTATTATAAAACATATCTAATTATATAAATAAAAATACAAAAATATACGTTACTTACTTTAATATCAAATTATGTGATTGCACTGTGTTTGTGTGTTTTTGGGATCTCAAAAATATAAAAAGCATTCACTGCAATAAATGATTTTTATTTTTACCTACCTATTATTATGTTAAAGTATCAATAATATTATCTAGGAAACAGTATAATGCCGAAATATTTACGTAACTAGGTAATTTATAATTTTCATAGAAATTTTAATTTTATTCTAGATGCAAGATGCATAACTTAGGTAATCATTTTTTGTCAAAATTTAAAGAGTGGGTGGACATAATAAATTGTCATCTAATTCTATTATAAAATATATTTTTTTTACAGAATGTAGAGCAAACAGAATTAAATTGAAATCAGTGAAGTTCTGAAACGTTCACAAAACGTGCCTTGGCGTGGATTAGCGAGACTATGAAACAGTTAATAGTAAATTCTATTGCCTACCTATTTTACGTTACCTTCACAGGTTATACTAATTAACAGCTTTGTTTACCTACGTACGTACTTTATTCACTATTACCTATTTTACATGGTGAAAAATAATAGAAGATTATTACAAATGTATGTGTACATACAATGTGACTAAGTTGTTTTACCACGTATTTGCTACCATTTCATTTTATTCTGTATCATTGGGAAATTTTTCAATTGTTTAAATATGAAAGCCTTTCATATTAGATGGGAAAACACTCTCGTCATGCCGTCTCTCAGTCACGTACCTAGTACGAGTCCTATTTATGACCTAATTGGTGACGTCTCACTACTTAGTTACTAGTAACTAAATTGATTTTCTTATAACTGAAATATGTAGAATTGTCATAAATTTCCTCATTGATGACTGATTCATAATAACGTAAGCAAAACGTCATGAAATCGTGAAACACTGCTTATTACGAAGGACATTGTGTATGATTTGTGGTACCTACCCGCTCCCACAGAGCAAACTTTAACCGGCTCCAATGGGATATAATTGAAATTACATGTAGGACAAATTGCTGCTTAACTTTATGATAAACGTTATTTTTCTACATTAGCTGCTTATCATGCTGAATGGGCTAGGGTTTGGCATTCAGTTTTGTCACATGCCAAAAATTGGTAATCAGCGATGTCCTTTTTGATTAGTTAAATAATATTATAGTTGTTTAGTTTGATACAAGGGGATATTTTCTTATCAACTTTTTTTTTACCATTATTACAGCTCAGCATCCCTAACCAGTACAAGAAGGGCATATAATTTAACTCATAGAGTACTATTGACGCGTATTGTTTCAAAGAACAGGGTAATTCGACTAAAAAGTTAGTTCATTCATGATCTTAATATTGAGGAAAGAGCCGCGGCCTTCGACGCGCGCGCGCATTCCTCGGCTGTGTGATGTCACCCGTAGTAAATTAACATTATCGTGTGTGCGTAATTTTAATAATACAAGTGCAATCTCCTATCTACTGTGTTAATCGTTGTTAATAAATAAACAAACAAGATTTTACATCTAAGGTACAATGGAAATAACAATCTACCCGTAAACTACGTTTCCTTGTATTAATTTCAGCCAATAACGATCAATCTGGCAAACAAAAAAATAGAGAACAAAAGATTCAGGAACCACCAGTAGAAAGCTATCTAATTTAAATATGTAATACAATACAAATTTTTATATGACCCTATAATCATATTTGAACCTAAACGGTGCCTAAATAAAATTGTAGAGTCTAGTAATGAATGTAGTATCGCCTAATTTCTGTCTAGCTGGACGATATTCCTTATTATCTAGTAATTGTAATAAGAAAAGCGAGAGTTTGAGCCTCGATTTATAAATATTGATAAAAAAATTAAGGCCATATTAAAATAAAGGGTTGAAAATGAATATCATAAAATTAAATATTGATAGAATTTTAATGAAATTAATCTAATTAGGTACATACTTGCACAACATCGAAGGTCACTATTATTCATGGAGATATTCTTTCTGTGACGAAATCCTCGCGAACAGAGCCACAGTAGGCTTAGGTACAGTACAAAAAGTGCGTCACATTTTTATTGTGACTAATTTGACACAATTAAAGTGAGTCAATATAGTTTCGATTTTAACATAAAAGTCCCTAGAGGATGAACTTATTTTGCCATATGTGATAAGAGGTCACGTCGGTACGTGACGAGGTACTCGCGGTCGGAGATCCTCCGCAGACCAATCGACCTCGCGCTGAGGTGCGCACGCGTCGATACGAATACGAAAATACCAGTTCAATCGACTCTATCGATCCAATATACATTTTAAACGCCCATTTTACTAGTTCAAAAGTGATGTGCGCGGGCTATGGGGTATCGTACAATCGAAATAAAAACGTAACCCGATACGTAAACATTCAGTAATTCAGAAACAGCTGATTGTTGTGTTTAATTTGTGGCAAACTGTATAAACTTTGGATATAAAGACCGGTTTCGAGTATGATCTAATCGTGTTTTATATTCTTGAGTGTGATAATTGGTGCTAAAAGTGTAGTAGATAGGCGGTTTATTTATGAGTTTTTGACTTTTGACGGTAGTCATGGGTAGTGTGGGCAGTAAGTTAGCGAGTTATACGCGGCCACTGTGCTGCAAGGGCTGCAAGTCGGACTCCTACGACCTCAAAGACCTGCCGCGCCCGCCTCGGCTGGACACCTCAAACGGTAGGTCAAGGCTGCTGTATGATAAGCTTTCGAATTGGACGATGATATCATGCTACTTATATGAGACATAAAATCTATATTATACGTGTGTTTAAAAACATATTTGTCTTACGGAATAAATCTTTTTAGAGGAAAAATATGTTTTTTACGGAATAATTATTAAAAGGATGCGCAATTTGTTTCGTACGACTGCGTGATTTGTTTATGTTTTTTGGCATTAATTGCTCGAAAGTTTAGTTGTTTGGGTACATTTAATTTAAAAAGGGACGTCTAAAGTACATTTTTAAATCTAAACCAAACCAAAACGTTAAAATCACTCAAAAATCAAAGATACTCTTTTATCTGTCTGTCAAGGAAATGTAAACAAAAGATTTAAAAATGCTCTAAATCATCAAAGAGATTAGCCGGAAAATGGGCCAAAGACGCAATGAAGTCGATTTATTATTCCCTATTCTTTTTGATGAGTGGTTTAAAAATAAATGAACGCGTTCAATAGTAGTCGTTGATCGTAAAACTTAATTTATTATTGTTTTATTAATGATTACAAAAACGACAAATAGCTTCCATGGGGCCAGCGGTAAGATAGTTGGACTCTCCACAAGATGTTTTGGGTTCTATTTCCAGATGGATTACGCCTATTTCACACTATATACCGTTGCTGATTTGTTTCCAATTTACATTAGGATACTAAACCAACGATTATCCGAAAATAATGCAGATAAAGTATTTCAGACGTTTGTTGAACTTAATTTGAATCATTTTCTCAACCCTTTGTCGCATTAGTATGTTCATTGTTGTGGCCACTGAATCATTATTAAGCAGTGACAATAGGTAAAACGCATTCAAAGAATGAGTCGTGAATATTTTTTAAAATGTGCATCCTTAAGTATGTGTTTTGAAATAGTAAGCAAAAATGTATTTGTAAACGTATAAGTACAGGTACCTACCTACCTATGAATAGTGCGATAACATTTCCAAACTATCACACCAATTGCTTACCTACGTACGAGTATGTATGACATTATTAAAAATAGGATTCGAACTTGCAACTGCCGGGATTGCATTAATTTCAGAGTGCGAACCATTCCTAGGTCAGGCGGCCATCAAGTCACGGCATTATGAATCCGATTTGTCTGTTTGTCTTTACTGTTAGCACATTGTCTCCAGAGGCCGTATTACTCAAACGCTACTGTTTGCTTACTGGTTAGAATATTGATTTAATAAAGAAGATTTCGAAGAAATATTGCCTACTGTAGCAAATAACAGAGTACTTCGTATTGATGTGAATACACCTGTCAAAATATTTTTCAAATTGTAGGCAAGTAATTCGTTTCAATTGATATGAGATACGTTTTTAGTTTTCTTTGTATTGAAAGGAAAACGCATCACGACCCTACTACATTTTCCGCGCGTACCTACCTAATGAAGTATCTCCACGACACGCGCATCTATTGTACCAATGGACAATATAATTTTATGTCCATAACTTATGCTGGGTATGAGTAAAAGGTAGGTACCTACAAATGCTTTGTGTTAAATACGGCAGGAATTACAAATTGCTCATGAACATTATTAAATAATCAAGGCTTAAACTTGGATAGATTTCAAAAACAAAGGCAAGGAATTGCAGTTGCAGTCTAACATATTTATTACCAAACTGGCTTCTGCCCGCGGCTACGCGTGCGTGAGTTTACCTAAAATCGCACGCGTGCATTCCTATCATAGATGTACTTGTACTTGTAGTTAGGTACTTTGTTTATTTTTTCGTTACCAAAAGTATTTATGACGAGTTTTACATGGAATAGTTAGCTAACCCATACAAACTTTCATCCATTTATACTCCTTAAAGTTTTATTTTAATATAAGTAATAGCACAATTCCTTCTCTTACTTGCTCTACTACGAGTAAACGTACTAAGTTTAATTCGTGAAAATTGGTTTAGTAGATTAAAAGTGAAAGAGTAAAACATGATCGACAGAGTTACTTTCGCATTTATAATATTAGTACAGGGGGCACCTCGTAACTACAGAGTTTATTAAAATAATATTGACATTAAAAATCATTAACAAATATTATGCAAGAGTACACATTTAAACGTAAAACGGTCAATTGTAGGTAATTATGATTACCTAAAGTGTAACAAATTGATAACGAAACTATTTAATTGATGTTTAAGATGAATTAAATAAATATTAGTTTTTTAGTTCAAACGTGGGATACCTAGAAGTTAATAAAACGTGATAGAGCCAATAGGTGATTTGATTTTTTGAGTCCCCCGCACACTACAGACTTTTTTTATCGGCTGATAGTTTTGTCGGCGGAATCGTCCGATAACTAATCGGTGATTTATCGTCTGACAAAAAGTCTAGAGTCTGCAGGGACTCTTAGATCTACGTTCCTTTTGATCAAATCATCTATATTGATGTCTCGAAAAATGTCTTTGTTTTAATGCTTTACAGACATGTAGTAATTGTTTCATCAAATTATTTTCATTATTATACTTGGACAAAGGAGTGAGTCATCCTGAACGCACGCACTCCCGGTCACAGGATAAAATTAATCGCGAGGTTTGCGCAATGATAATTGGGAATTTCACGACGTTTTGCTTTACATGTAGGTATTGTAGTATCAATGTGATACTATTGTATTGTATTCATGACGCATTATTTCTTAGCAGGACGATACCCTTTACTTTAGTTAGCAGTCATGTAACTGGCCACTTAAAAATGTAAAAAATTCCCGCCGGCCGGGGATGAGATATACATTTTTTTTTAATTGTACACTATGGTACAAAATGTACTACAGTTATTATAGTCGAGATCTAATGGACCTGAGATTATAAATCAATGCACAATTGCTTCTTATGACGTTATCAAATACATTTGCGAGGTAAAATCAATTTTCGTTAGCTTAATCTTATCAATTATTTTATGAAAAATCGATGTTTTTCGCACATGAACCGTGACCACAAATTACATGGAGTAGCTGGTACCTACTTCAAGGAGGCTTTTAACTCATCAGACAAATGTTTAAAATACTACAATACTTAGTCCTACGAAAGCCATTTGTTACGATCACAAAAGCAGGCAGAGCAAATGTTCTATATTACGATTGTTTTTATCTCAGTAATGTTTAATCAGGTTAATAATAACAGAACTTTTATACAGCTGAGCCCTGTTAAACGACGAATATGAACCTATAAGAAGGTATGACAAGTAAGTACCTACCCTACATCCCAGAACCACATAGTTTTTGCATAGACGAGATTGACAGGGAGATTCTGTAGAGTAAGCTGTCGAGTTGCTCAAACTATTTCAAGGTGAACCAGTGCACAAGACATGTTCCAGTAACATTGACATAGAGTCGCCATTGATGGCTATTTAGTCGGCAAAAAGGCTTTACTACGAGTAAAACGAGTTTACCAACTGAGATTACTATAATGTGATAAATGTACCCATAGCTAATAGCTATGGAAATTGTCGCTCTACGTTAAACAAACAGTAGAACATAAAGTAGGGTGTTTATTGCTTATGTAATACAAGATACTTACTCATTTTAATATGAGTAGGAAGGTACAACAATGTGGATCATAATTCATATCGTATTAGCACATTATTGACATTTATTTTCATAATTTTCTTTAGGACTTCAATTGTTTAACTCTGTATTAAGATAACTCTAAAGTAAACATTAAGAAAACAATACAGATCTCCCAATGAAAGATCTAGGGCGAGCTTATAAGCTCCTGTGGTCACGGTTTATTGTGTTTATACATTTTTTACAGCTTCTTCCCCAGCCTTCCCTCTGGTTTTATGTGACCACAGTTTTGGGTCGTCTAATAAAGTTACGACTTTGAATATTACGAAATTCTTTTGTGAATTTTATCCCATCCACAAGTTTATACTTAGTAGTGTACTTTTCTTAGAAAAAATAATTTAGTAGAAATAAATCTAAAGTAAATACTTATTTCTCACAACTGGAGTGAAGGTAATTATTAATTTATAAATCTTTAACGTGATTCAGCTTATGCATTCATCTGTATGGACAGCTAAGCTTAGCGAATTAATAACTGGTGACATAATGATATAAGTTTTTCAGAGCCAAAGAAAAACTTACCATGAATAAAACAGAATTATATGGATGATGTTCTAAGCCTTGGGTATCTTTTAAACCTTCAGTTGCAACAGAAACGTAGGTAGTTAACGTTTTATTTTTTCTCACCTTAATTCGAAATTCGATTCTGCAATATCCTGTCGCCCGGGACTTCTTTTATGTGTTGGTACTAAAATAGAGTTGCCAGTCGGTTAATTAAAAGTGTCGGTCTTCGACGATCAATAAATAGTCTCTTCATAGAAATTCGTTGAATTTGTTTGTGGTGTGTGATATTCTCTATGTTTGTGCTTCGTTTTCTCGGCAGTAAGAATCAGCCTCGTGAGTTCATAGGTACCATGGATTTTTGGACCTTAATTATTGTATTATCTACGCAACCCCTAATAAAAGCTCTAGCAATCCAAAAGTATTAAAAAAAAAGTTTTTTAGTAGCTACAACTCACGACGTCACAACGTGCGGCATTTTTAAGACGTCACGGGCCTCTTCTTATGAACTTTGGGGCGCTTTATCTCTTTAAATTTTCATTAGTTTGAAAAAGTGAAAAATACGTGTAGAGTATTTTTTGATAAGTTAACTGACGGACTAATTAAAACTCTTGCTTTTTGACCCAGGCAACATCCCCATTATAAAATGTTTATGTTCATAGATAGGTAGTAGATATAGGTAGGTATAGTATATTCTTTTCCCTCATTTCTGGAAAAAAATAATTGAATGTTCGGTTTTCATCTAAAGGTGCGACTAATTTTACTAGCAAAAGTAAGAAGCTATTTATGAAATGCTTTGTGTCATGGTCATCTTTCTGCTCAAGTAGATGTAGGAATAATACAAAAAATGATTTAATTGTAACCATAAAAATAATGCAATTATACATATGAGTTATGTAACATAGTATATTTTCCATCTGTATTTCATCCATTACCTCAGACATGGGATGACCATAATCGCACTGCAACTAAGAGAAACCTACGCGGATGCCGACTACGGACTGTGTGGGAAATATCTATTAAATGCTTATTATTTCAAGGCAATATACATCCCGGTATAGTTGTGGCTCTCCCACACATGTAATTAATACTAAATAGGTAAGTTGTTAGGCGCCTTTGTAAAGTCCGCTAGATTTCGCATGCGATTAGGTATACAAGTTTTTCTAAAGCTTTTTCTAACATTATCTCCTAAAATATTCGTACAATATTAAGATAATATTAGCTGAGCAAAATTAAATGAGAATGATTCTCATGTATGTAAAGATATTAAATGTATAACTGAGAATCGTAAGTAATTTGTCTTGTCCCTTGACGCAAATAGTGGGTACTCCGATGACACCTTTAAGATTAATTGATTCATCAGTGGAGGTCAGAAATCAAGGTGGTCAATTGATTCATCATATTCGTATGGAAGTCCTTTACAGGAGTAAATGCGGATCAAGTCTTTTAGTATCAGTAGACGCATTGTAAAATTAATATTATTGACATTATATTACGGTAGGTATCACAAGTTAATTGGCCTAATTGATATAAATATTAGTAAGGTTCATAAGAATAAATTAAAATGTAGAAGAACGAGCATTTAACCTTTGCTTGCAAAATGCCTCTTTGGTGACATAAGTATCAGGATATGACACAATGCAAATAGAGTTCGTTTTTCTTATTAACCGATTGTATAGTTTTGGGCATGATTTGCACAGATAGAATTGATAGTATGACAAATCAGCCTTGTTCAATGAATGAATACTATTTCTCGGTACCGAGATGAAGCTTTTCGAGTCTTATTGACTTTATGACATCATCTTTGTGTTGGTGGCAGAAGTAGACTGTTTCCATCACTGGAGCTCTACAGTTTGTGACGAAATGTGCGAACAACTGCACGTTTGTCGAAGCTATTAGCGAAACGTAAATTCCTCGACGAAAACTTGTATTTGGCCGAGTGTTTTAGGCGAAATGATTGTTTAAACCTAAAGTGAACTTTTAATTTATATTTTGGATAAAAATATTAAGTGCTCTATGACATGGAATATATCAAGAATTTGTGGAGACATTATTTTGGAAGGCGGCATAAATACATAATAGTGCCCTTTCAACCAGGTATTAAACTGATAGAGGTATTGAGTGGTGTCGAAGAAGCAATGAGTTTCATTGTCTATAACTTCAAAAATTTGTGCATTTGGAAATACTGGCCACAAAAATGAAAATGCAGAAAAAAGAAATGCGTAAGGAAATGAGCGTCTCGATTGTCTTTGTTTTTTTTTAATTGAAAATTAAAAGGATTTTTGCAGCGAATCTTTATATCGTTCAGAGACAGCAAATAATGGCATTATCAATATTTAAAGCAACTGGACTCACGGTTTACAATTTAAGGGATTGTATCAAGAGGATTTGTTTAGTTGAAGTGTAGGAATCGTTAAAAAATTCGCAAAAAATAGTTAGTTTATCGACTTACTGCGACTTACGTCAAATTCAGAAATACCAGAAAGTGTTGATTTAAACAATAATTTATTTTCTGTTAACATCGTTTAGAAAACGTGGTATTCAAAGCAACGCTAACTTTGTGTGTTTTAGTTTCATAGCTCAAATATTTAGCCACAAACAATATCTAGGACTACTGTTTGGTTTGCGTGTATTTTTAACTGCTGATCGAATCGCGCTAACTTTCAAACGTAAATGAGTTCTCAATGTCAGTGGTGTTTCCTTTCGCAGTTTCATTAAAAGCAGTCCTGTGACGATTTTGAAAATAAAATCATAAGATAGCCAGTTCCTCCGTGGTTGAGGATACCGGGTGAAGCTCGCTACCACCTTCGGCCTGATCATCACTTACCATCAGGGGATATACAGGCCAAGAGCTTCCTCGTTGTGGATAAAAAAATTTATTCATAAATTGTAAATAGCATGCAAATAATTTTGATTACTTTTTATTCGGGGGAGGCATATTATGTTTAGCAGTCCTTTGGCTGAAATGATGATGATGATGAAGTGTGATTGGAATTAAGTCCAGAAGAAACCAATAGTAAAAAATAATATTGATTAAAATCAAATCTTAGTCAGTCATAATTACGAGGAAAAATTTACCTGGTTTATTTCTACAACATTCTTGCGATGACTAAATGCTGATTCCAATGTCCAGATGTCATCGATGGCACCAGACTGGGCGTGCTCGCCGTGCAAGGCATCGACTTTTGCATCGACTCCAATGGGGAGAACCACCACACCCACAAGTTCCACCTAATGACGCGGCCGGTGGACCGCTGCCTGGTCGTACGAAGAGGACAGGCCTTCAAACTGGACCTGTTACTCAACAGGCCCTTTGATGCCAATAGGGATGCCGTGTCTTTTATCTTTTATGTACCAGGTATGGTCTTTTGACTGTTCTTTTCGGATTACAAGAAAAAGTGGCTTCCAAAAGATTACAAAATGATTTATTTATTGATTTATTGGACTATCAACATAAGATACAGCAATAGACACTGATGACGATTATTGTATCAATATTATCTATGATATTTATATAATGTGCTTAATTTTTAAAAAAGTACTTATTTTATTGCACTTTAAAATAATTGCATAACAAAATCTATCTCTCAATGTCTTTAAAATGCACAAGTGATACCTATATCAAATAACTAAAAATCCGTGCACTGTAATTAATAAACGCAGCACATACATAATATTCTTTAGCTTATGCCACTCAAGTTCTTATACGCTTAAGCTAATTTTCCTGAACCATACTAAAGTGTAGTTTCCGTCGTCCGCGACCATAGATGCCTTGTCTGCGACAGATTCCGCAATGCGTGGGCCTTCCAACGAGATGTCTGCTCCCGTGCCTCTCCTGGAGAAGGGGTCTGAAGTGGTGGGAGGGTGGTCAGCGGTGTACGAGGGACAAATGGACTCCCACCTCATGGTGGCAATAACGCCGGCATCGGACTGCATCGTGTCTGCGTGGCGGATGGATATTGACACCAAACTGACCTCAGGAGGCTCCTTGAGCTACACCCACCCACTGCCGATATACGTTCTCTTCAATCCGTGGAGCCTTAACGACAGCGTTTATATGCCAGGTAACAAATGATAACTTGATATAATGTGTAGGTACATTGAAATCTATTGACTGAAGTAACAAGAATGCTATAGACCTTTGCCTTAAATTAATAACAGCCAATAGGCATGTTAAAAAAAGATTCATAGTAATTAAACTATTGTATTACCATAATTTGTTTTGTTAGCTAATGAATGGTATGATGCAAATGATTCTCAATTTGTACGTTATGGTGTGATTAATTGTTTACAACTGAAATCCCACGCATGCTCGTAAAATATGAGTTCTAGAATGCCTCAGGGCTGTTGCAGCACGTAATGTATAGAAATAACAACTGGTGCATATGCAAATCCAATGCTAAAACAGTGTTTATGTGATCAGGGCACAGTCACCGCGAGGAGTATGTGCAGGAAGACGGTGGTCTCATGTTCAGAGGAGTATACAACGTCATCAAACCTACTCCGTGGAACTACGCTCAGTACGAGAAAGACATTCTTGAGTGTGCGCTCTATCTAGTCAGTGAGATCGGAAAGGTTGGTATAAGTTATTAGATTATTAAAATAATTTACTCTATAACATCTTAAATACTTCAGATAACACAACACTCTATTCTTTAGTAGCTACCTCCTATCTTAGACAGACATCTACGAATATTAATCCTTTTTCTAGTTTTTTTACGATCAAGGTCAGCCACAATGCCATCTAATGTTTAAGTCGCATTACTGCCTTTGTTTACAACTTTTTGTAAGTAGCATATGTTAATAGTTCTAAGTATCAAAAACAAAATGCGAAATCAACGTCATACAGCCTACGTTGATCGTAAGACCATTATGGAGCGTAGCATCCTTCCACACTCGGTCAAACTAACAATTAAGCTGCAATGTTGAACATTACATGAACAACTGCTGAACATTATAAATTTAACAAAGAAATCGTTAAATTACTTCAGGTCAAGGGCCGCGCACGAGGGGACCCCATAAGAGTAGCGCGCGCTCTCTCAGCCGCCGTCAACGTCCAAGACGACAATGGGGTCTTGTTCGGGAACTGGGGCAAGGAGCTCAGCGACTACAGCGGGGGAACACACCCGTTAAAGTGGATCGGCTCCTTGACCATCCTGCAGAAATACTACGAAAAGAAAAAACCGGTCAAATACGCGCAGTGCTGGGTGTATGCGGGAGTTTTAACAACTAGTGAGTGTTTGATACAGTATTCTATTTTTGTGACCAGTCATAGACGACGTAGTGACTACGAATTAATCTGCGTTAGAGGTATCGCTCGGTTTTCTTTACAAAACACACAGGACATTGGTAACAACTTAAAATACAATCTGAACCGTTTACTTCGTGTGCGATTCTGATAACTTTTGGCGCATCAACGTCAGGGGTTATCAGCGCATTGTACGTTGCAAATTATATCATTTAATAATTAATTACGAATATTTATTGTTTATTTTATTACGCATAAATATTACAGGGAAGAACTTGAAATCACTAAATTCATATTTTAATACCAGTTTGCAGAGCTCTCGGTATCCCATGCCGACCGGTGACTGGGTTCGATGCCGCGCATGACAGCGGTGGAAGTCTCACCATCGACATTATTCAAGACGAAGACGGCAATATCATGGAAAACTTCACCAACGACTCAGTTTGGAATTACCACGTCTGGAATGAGGTAGAAATAAATATACGCATCATCAATTGGTATTACATTTGCGGGCAATGGCTTTAAAGTAAATATAGATGGAACAACAAATCGAACGATAAAGGTTACCAATATTGAGTGAATTTAAAGTGAAGATATCATAAGAGATCGCTATACGGATATAAATAGCGTGGCTGCTGCTAGCATCTGTTTTGTGTAAAGTATTTGTATTGGTGGATCCAATGTGCTGCCAATAATAACGAGACTGATTCATCAAAATGTCTATCTACACGATATATTTATAAACCATTTGCTGACCCTTTCATCAGAATTGACTTATGGAATTTTGATTAAAGATCTTGAGAGATAACGTTTGAGTCGTACAATATTATAACACTAGTCGTACAATATTCAGGAAGTCTGGTTATTCAAACACATATTTCACTCTTCTCTCTACTTTGGTGGAAACCGGGCCTAAAGCTTATCAAAATCTTACACAAATCTCTTGAAATCTTGGACAAAATTCCCATTAGTTAACACCCTAGATGCTATCGTTTGTGTTCACTCTAGGTATGGATGGAAAGGCCAGACCTCGGCTCGGAGTACGGAGGCTGGCAGGCAATAGACGCGACGCCCCAGGAGATGTCAGAAGACATGTTCCGCTGCGGCCCGGCGTCGCTGCGCGCTGTGAGGGACGCGGACATACAAAGGCCGTACGATGCCGGTTATGTGTTCGCACAGGTCAACGCTGATAAGGTAATTAGAACCTAATGAATATTGACTATTGCTAGGTACTTTTACTAATTATGCAGCTGAAAAGCAATGGTAGTAGGGTCTCCAGAGATACCTATCAGAAGATAATAATTTCAATGTGATCCGGCATCACTACATGTTGTGGATGGTGGGCACATAATATGATCTTCATATTACGAAGATCTAGATTAAAAATGTACAATAGATGATATTTTCTCTCTGTATGATGGTAGACTGTCGTAATACGTAGTGCCTAGTCAGATTTAATTTGCTCCCGTGATGGGGGTCTCCATCTTAATATTTATATGCGCATGAAATGTAAACGATTCTTAGCACCATAAATTAGGAAGCATTCGGTCTTAAACATACTATAAACCAATACAATTTTTTCAGTTACTCTGGCTCTACACTGGTGAAATTCAACCCCTGAAGCTGCTAGGACGTGATACAAGATCCATTGGACAAAATCTATCAACCAAAGCTATTGGCAGAATGGAGAGAGAGGTGGGCATTATACTTAAGCATGGCTTTAGGCTACAAGAACCTTATACAGGCATAGTTGCCATATAATTTGCATAGGCCTTTTATAGAGCTGTAAATAGTTTTATTAAATCATTAAGACATATCTGACCATAAAGAAAAAAATATGCATGTTCTACTTACACATTTGGTAGACAAGTAATTAAACTAAAGGAATGAATCGGAATAACTACTTCGAGCATACGTATACGCTCAATGGAATTTAAAATGTAGGCTGTAATAGACATGTTAAAGCGCATTAAATTAAGGGTAAAAATTTAAATATATATGATTCTTGAATTCCAGGATATAACGAACCTATACAAATACCCTGAAAGCTCACGGGAGGAGCGGTCGGCCATGGAAAAAGCTCTGCGGCGTAATGGCACACTGTTTGCGCGGTACTACCTCAACGATGATTTCAATGATGTCACTTTTGATTTCGAGCTGAGAGATGATATCAAGATTGGACAGGAATTCTCTGTTGTGAGTATAGACATTGTTTTTTCAACAGCAGATACCACAGCTTATAACAACACTTATGTTATGAACGGCTTTTCCTCTTGCTTCTGCTACTATTGTGGTCTGGGATATCCAAAATAATAAAGAAGCCTTCAGTCTGTGCGTTCAAAATGTTACATGAAAAAATTACTAATTTCAGTGGTCTATCGTTAAGTAACCACAAAGTATAGAATATAATATTATAACTACCTAAATGTCGATTGAGGCGATCCAAGGGACAGGAATATTGAAAATTTTAAATTTTGAGTCTAGTATAAGGAGATTGGTTAGGTACAGAGTGATTTTGAACACATTACTTTGCTATTTCAGGTACTGCACATGAAAAATCGTTCAACGATACAAGAGCACCGTGTGAAAGGCATTCTACGTGTAGACACCGTCACGTACCGAGGCAAGACCGGGGACAACGTGAAGAGACACGAGTTCGATATGGTGCTTGCTCCCGCTGCGAAGCAGAGGGTAGACATGCTCGTCACTTTCGACGACTACTACAAGAGGCTGGTTGATCAGGTAAGACTACTAAGAAAAGGAAGAAAAGTGTGCACTTAGCAAAATGCGAAGTGTTCATATTGTGAAGTGCACATTTTGCGGCAGATCAAAGAAGCTTTAAAATACACATCAATAATGAATTCTCCTCATCAGAATACTTAACGCCAGAATAGACTTAGAAAAGTTTTGATGATCTAATAGATGCGTCTCGACGTGCTTTGAATTTTCAGCCAAAAATCTTTACAAAATGTGTATTAATTTCTCCTGAGAAAAGGTAACATATTGAAGAGTTGCATTTTAAACTTCTTTATTTATTACAGGCATCATTTAACATCGCCACTATCGCGACAATCGTCGAGAAGGAATTCGATTATTTCGCTCAAGACGACTTCAGAGTTCGAAACCCTGATATCAAGATCACCCTCGACGGAAAACCAGTATCGAAGAAAGAGCTCACCGTCACGGTGAAATTGGAGAATCCTTTGCCGATTCCTCTGAAAAACGGAAAATTCTACATTCAAGGACCTGGTCTTGACAAGCAGGTCAAGATTGAGCTGGATGAGGTAAGTGTTAATGATTAACGAAATGATAATTANGAACCACTGTTGCAAAAATGAGCCTTCTATACCAAAGTGGAGGGGTTCTTGCACTAAATTCCCTACTATTAGAAAAGTTTTGATGATCTAATAGATGCGTCTCGACGTGCTTTGAATTTTCAGCCAAAAATTTTTTCAAAATGTGTCTTCATTTCTCCTGAGAAAAGGTAACATATTGAAGAGTTGCATTTTAAACTTCTTTATTTATTACAGGCATCATTTAACATCGCCACCATCGCGACAATCGTCGAGAAGGAATTCGATTATTTCGCTCAAGACGACTTCAGAGTTCGAAACCCTGATATCAAGATCACCCTCGACGGAAAACCAGTATCGAAGAAAGAGCTCACCGTCACGGTGAAATTGGAGAATCCTTTGCCAATTCCTCTGAAAAACGGAAAATTCTACATTCAAGGGCCTGGGCTTGACAAGCAGGTCAAGATTGAGCTGGATGAGGTAAGTGTTAATGATTAACGAAATGACAATTAAAAAGTTCACAATTATTTACCTTTATTTTACTATTGTTTTCTTGGATAACCTTTCCTTACAATCTTAGGCTTCGGTTTATTTGGAAGTAGCCACGTAATTGTCATGGAACTTCTCATCTGAATATTATGTACTTCTGGTCAGCGCAGAACAATCAATCCTTGGGAAAAACCTTTGTCTAGCAATGAACTTTGTCTTTTGGCTAAAAGGTGCGCAATAGTTCTTCAATGACCACTGACTTATCTTTGTTATTTTCATTTCCAGACTATAGCTCCAGGCGCGATAGCTTCTGCCCAGTTCAAGCTGACACCGCCATGGGCCGGCCGACACCAGATCTCCGCCAAGTTCAACTCCAAAGAGATGCATGACGTAGACGGATTCCTCACCTTCAAGGTGGCTATGCCTGTTGAGACCAACGGGTTCAGCTCTGATAACAATGGATATGCTTCTGAGAACAACATAGAAACACATCAGGTGTAATTGATTGAGTAAGCAACTCAAGTACCTATTACAAATCTTTACTTTATCAGACAACACTCTTTGCCTGTTCGTTAAGGTGGATTTGTCGGTTACTTCAATCGATAACAAAGTCAGATGTGGAAAGAAAGCTACTTACTCCGGGTAGTAGGTACCCACATATCAGAATACTGTTGCCCTTTTGTCCTAGAGCCTAATATGTATTGATGGACCAAGTTATTATCAAGATAGGAAATCGTACAAATATGTAAAAATGCTTTTAAAATAAATAGTTTTGGTAGCAAATACCTACAAGCCGTTTACCTAGTTTGCTATTATACAATAACCCTTTAAAAAGTGAAACAGTAAAATTAAACGATAAAATTATTAAGATATTATCTCATTGTCAGAATGATCAGAAGCAAGTCAGAACAGATTAATAGGTAGCTATGAATTAATAAAAATAGTTGTAATTTATATTTTACAATATTTTTGGATTTTATTGCCAATGTTTTTATTTCATTTAAGCTATTTTTGGTATTGCTTTAAATCGACTCTACTTACGATGTAATCTATGTAAGTTATTTACATGATAACGTCCTTTTATTATTATGGCTGCTAGTATTTTTTGTTAAATTAACAAAACAGCTCTGAATAATCTTAGAACAGCTAGAGTCAGTGGATCCCAAAGTATTACCTACTTAGTATAGGATTTATTTAGAGAAGTGAAATTGAATAGCTTTTTTAAGTTTTCATTAAATCGTATTAATTAATGAATTCACTGTTAAAAGTAGAGTAAGTTTATGTACAGTCAATTGTTTACGAACTGTTCGTATATAAATTCACCAATAGGATGTTATTTATTTAGGAAGATGTAAGTACAATTAATGAAGTAATTAATATATTATACTTTATTTATAATTATATTGTATTGTTTTTATTTTTAAAATATAACTCGTAAATATAGAGCAAAGAAGAATTTAAAAAGGGAAAAATAAGATGGAAGGAGAATAAAAAATCAAGCGGATGCACGCATTAATGTTTATTTATAAGTGCAACAAAAATCTATAGAAGTTAAAAAAGACACCTTTTAGGTACATAGATGTTTTTGAATTATTATTACTATATTAAATTACTCAAAAGTATCTTGATGAGGCCTTACTTCAAGACTCAATGTGGCGCCATCTAACGACACGGTCATTCGTAAAATTGTAGAGTCATCGTACTGTGCTTGTTCAGAAAACGAGGCATGAAGTTTTAGATAGGAAAAGTAGATGTCTCGCTAGCAGGTGCTCTGTAGTTCTACAATGATTAAAAAATATTTAAATAAGATCTGGAACATTAGGATCGTCTACAAAACCTGGTGTTGGTTGTTTCAGTTCTAATTTTAATCTTGTTTCACTGTATTTTGCCGAAGATTTGGGTTGAGTCATTTTAGTAAAATCCAATGCATTATCATTTGGCCCAATTTCCAAATATTCTCTCTTTGATTGACCTAAACTTTCTTGGCAATCTGAAGTCTTATGCTCACTGTACAATTGGGCCTGTTTATTGGGTTCAGATTTTGGTTCAGACGGGGTCCGTATTGTGGCATTCGCTCGCGGCATCGTTACAAGTAAGTGCCCCGTGGTTTGCGAGCGCTCTGCTTTTGAGTTTGTAGTGTCTACTTCCTCCGGTAGATGGAGTTGAAATATCTTTCCTTTTACAGTGACTCGGACGTAGTTAGGTTCCACATCAATGTCCAAGAGACTTGTATCTAAATGTTTGTAGACTGCTAAATCAAGAACGTAAACATCTGGTTCTGAATCATAAAATCTGAAGTCAAGCTTTGCTTGATTTATATTGAAGGGCCTTCCGTCGGGAGCAAAGAGCTTATACACACGTTTTTCTTCCGTTTTCTCCTCTGTTTCATAGCTTTTTAATTTTAACTGCCGCATGTGTTCAATTTCGTATCGAACTTCAGGCGCATGTTCACATTTTTCAGCCCAAAACTTTTTATTTCTTTCTTCTGGGTCCATGTCTTTGTATTCATTGTCCCATTTGGATTGGATATCTCTTTGTAAGCGCGATTTTTGCTTCCTTCTCTGATGTCTGTAATTTTCTTGTTCAAATAAAATATCTGATCTGATGACTTTTAAATTTTGCAGTGCTTTGATTCTATCAGACCTTTCAATTTCCCTTCCATCCAAAGTACTTAGCTGTGGTAGAGTTCCAATGACGAAATCACGATAGTTATCATAGTCAGTACAGGGATTTCCGGTTAGATATAAATTTTCTAAATTATAGTTATCGGTAAGGTTTTCAACACTCACTATTTCTCCAATAAAATTTAGTGTCAGGTCAAGTTTTTGTAGAGATTCGCATCTTTCCAGGTTTTCGATTATTTCTATGTTATTTAGTGCTAAGTTAAGGTAAGTTAAATGCTTAAGCTTATTTAGATTTTCTATTTTGGCGATAAGGTTGCTTTGCATCAGAAGAATTTTAAGTTTTGGACACCAATCTTGCAAGAACTCAATTTTTTCAATGTTTTCCTGGTGTAGAGCTATCTCCTCCAGAGGCGCCAAGAGGCGTTCGTGGTGTTCTGCTTTCTTGCGCACCATTTCCACTGTTATTTGCACCATTTTACTACCACAACACAACTATTTCTTTGTAGGTATTTTTCTTCAATTTCTTACCAATATTGTAGCACAAAAATACCAATTTATGGTGAAATTGTTGCCTAGCAACCAATCATGGCAACCAAGTGCTAATTGTGTTGTCAAAGTGACAGAATGTGCAGTACAAAAAAATGCAATGCGAGCCAAAGTTAGCATCACGTTTAATTATTTATTTATAATGTATTAAAAGTATAGAATTAAGAGATTAAGAATAATACACATAATTAACCTACATAGACTAAATATTTACAAATATTTATTGGACATAATATTATTTTCCAAGTAATAATGATTAGAATAAACACGAAAGTAAAATATGAAGGGTTATACTCATATTACTTTCAGATGGTTAATCTGGCTACTTCTAATTAGGATAAGGGTTAAATAATAACATGGTGTTCGGTGGTTAAACCGTGGGGCGCTTGTAGATCAACAGAGTCTCGGGTTATCTTTCGATCTCGGCGGCGCGGGTAATCCGTCATTTAACATTCCGGTGGTGGCACCAGGACCGCTCAACTCAACCGTACTAAATTAATATCGCCGTCATGTAGACGGTATTAAAACATTTTAAACGATGCCATTTATAATATGACGTTCGGATATCAAGTCGCGAGAGCACAACATATTTTATTCCACGAAACTGCCAAAAGACAATGAGGATGAAGGATTACTATCATCAATGGTTCGTTTTATTGTTAATATTCCAAGTCGAAGGAAAAAACGATGTGGAAAAAACAAGAGTGGTTGGGATGAAATAAGGCATGACAGAGGGAAAGACGGTGTTATTGGTGTGGCGGGGCGCGGGCAGGGCGCGGCGCCCCGCGGTCTGTGTGTGCTTAGGGGGCGCAGCGGGGCGCCGCACCCGCCCGCCTGCTGACGAACAACGTGCCCACTTATTGAAAGCAGCTAATTTAACATTCTGTTGTTTAAACAAACACGACCTGCTCTAGTGGATTATTGAAATTATAAATGTTTTCTGACAGTTTTATTGATTGCCTACTTCTGTGGAAAGTTGTTCTACACCTTGCCTATGGTAAAGCAAATTAACGACACTTTTCGTTTTGACCTTGATCAGCAGATGGCGTTGATAGACAACTAGTTGATGCTATCAACTATTTGATGTTGTATGATAAATACGTTCCATTTCTTACCAAACGTTAACTGTAACATACAGGTGATATTTTTTTGCCGCTTTGCAACTTTGTGTACGGATGTTGCCCCGCATCCTCGTCTCGTCCGGGCAAGTGTCGGGGCAAGTCAAAACAACCGTCATCACTCCAACACCACGCACTAAAACGACTAAATAAAACCCTAACAAGAAGCTCCAGGTATACATATTTAGCTTATTTCTTTGTATCCTCCGCTCAATTGCTTTAACGCGATGTGATATGATATGACAATTTAGATTTCATGCAGGTGCAGTTTGTAAATATCTGCCATAGAATTAATTTATAAGTAGGAATTTATATCTCTACCTTCTTTATATCTGTTGGTGTATCTAGCAAACCAAAGCTCAAGCGAAATGTATATTTTAAAATCAGGTCCAAGGTAAGTTTCAAGTTAAGATTTTTTATGCTTTCGCACTTATTGGTTGCATCCGCATAAATCTTCACAAACTCTTCGGGTTTTCGCTTCAAAGCTTTTTAAAAGTTTGTAGCACTTTTCGCTGATAGCAATAATTTTGCATAATTTTCCTACGCAGTTAGGGCGCATTAGCATCAATCATCAGTCATCAAAGGATGATGGGCACTTTTCTATGGAATCTGGGCGTAAAACCAACAGAAATGTAACTACTATTATTTGTTACGACTTAATATCAGAAATATATTTTCATATAAATAACTACCAAAAACTCCCGGGTTTGCTTGAAAATTGACATAATGTGTAATAGTAATAGGTGCTTTATTGCGCAAACAAAAAATATTATTAATTAATATACTTATCTACTTACATTATAAATACATTAAGTTATTTATCCATCATTATGTCCTACAGTTCAGGAGTGGGGCCAACAAATGGTATATTTAAACCATGTTCTACATATAAGCGTAGGACCATGCCTAGGTACCATTTAGAGAAATGACATGAACACAGACATGTTTCAATGGGATTTCTACCACTTAAGTTGTAGTGTTGTCGCATAATCGATCACGGATCGATTATTAATCGATATTGCCAAATAACGATTTATCGATTAACAATTCGATTAATCGATTTTATTGACTACCATCATTTCTATCATTTGATTGTTAATTCAATTCCTTATTTTCAGCAATATAATCGATTATTGCAATCGAATAATCGATTATGATTTATTCGGTATACATACATACTTACTAAATCGATACAATACTCTCAATATGATCGATAAAAACAAACGAATTGACCTAATACTATTTTTATTACAATAATGTGCTGTGAAATACTATGGAAACTTTGCATATTCAACGACCTCTATCTCCGTATCCCCGCGTATTTCAGGATTGTTGTCATACTATGAAATGAAGTACTAGTATTAAGCTTTAATTTAGTATACTTTTTGTTTCTGTTGGTTTAACGCCCAATATGCCCATCATCCTTTGACTAATGATATAATCGTTCAATTTGCTATCCGGAGCAGCGCCGTAATGTATCAATTGTGGATCATTACTATCTTGTACATTGGAAGTGTTCATGTATCAAGTCGGGCATTAGTAGCGGCCGTGTTGGCGCGTCCGCAGCAGCGCTGGTCAGCGGAGCGTGCGCAGCAATCTGGCGGCGGCATCTCCGCTCGCGCGCAATCAGCGATTCGTTCCGGCGGGGCGCGGGGCGCGGGCGCGGCCGGCCCCGGCCCATTCTCACGTAAATAATTACCGGCGAGTCTCAAATTACAAGGCGCCGCTGCGGCCTGCCGATACATATTCATCAGATGTTCGCGCCGCGCGTGACAGCTTCCTCAGGGCAGCCTCATGGTCCTCGCTCCGCCGCACCTCGATCCGTCCGACTTGCTCTCTTCGCAGGCAAAAACACGTCTGCTTCGCTACACTTCGCTTAATTAAAATGAACCTGGCACTTGTAGATTACTTTGTGGCGATGCTAATGAACCCTTAACTCATTAGGGCCCGAGAACGCGGGTAATTTGGGAGGTGACGTCTATGATAATATATTGTTGTCACGAATTACAACTAACTTGTTATGGTAACCATCATTCGTTTTAATTTAGGTAGGTATGTATATCAATATCTATGGCCAACATCATAAGTGTATTTAATTATAACTTAATCTAGTTGATCAACCTCTAGGAAATCACTTCCCTTAGATCTATGCCCTAATTGTTAATTAGGTAGGATGTCACTGTTAACCTTCATATTTTTTGCTGCGATATGAGGTCTATGCACTCCAACTATCTGCTCCATCTGTTCAAAGGGTTGCTTTTCATTTTCATAAACATAAGAAGGAGATAGATAATCATCGTCAATGAAATTCTAATTAGAAATATCGCAACTCTCGCCGGATGCGTCATAAGCGATAAATTATGCACTCGGCGAGGAGTACTAATTTCGATGCCGACAAATTTTCCACAACCGCGATTTTAATGCGTTTCAAATAATGTCTGTAGGCAACGCTAAATGATAAATCGTCGAAGGAACGCCCCCAAGTCGAGTTTAGTATAAATTAGTGGGAGTCCCGCTCCTCCGGGATGGGAAGGAAGAGGACGGAGGCGTCGGGTAAAAAAGGAATGGTTTAGGTGTGAGCGCGATGGTGTTGAGATAATAACAGTGCGGCGTGCGCAGCAGGGCTTTGAGGCCGCCGCCGGGCCCTGCGCTGCCGGCCTGCCGAATATCACCATTAGCCTCAATTTGAATACCTCCACGCCAATACCTTTTCAATTTTGCCACCATGAGCTTTCTTGTCTGGCTCATAAGTGCATACCTTAGGACGAAAATAATAGGTTTGGAACGCCAAATTTTTAATTTTATACGCGTCTTATTGGTCTTCTTTATGTAGTTTTTTGATGATTGTCAGCTAGGTAGCTGACTTTACATGGAAAATACTACATTGAAAATTGAATAAAAGTATCTAGTTTTATTCAATTTCTATTTAAGCAACAATTTCTTTTATTAAAAATCTTATTCTGAATCTTCAATACACTGTCTTCAGTATAAAAATGATTCGCTTTCATGCAGTAGCTCTTGATGGTTACGAGTTTAGATCCTGAGGAAGTCGTTTCATAAAGTGCAGAATCATATTCTAGAGTAGGTCATCACCATCGGCAGCCAATCTCAGTATTCTGTTACCCAATAATGTGTAGATAAGAGAGACTACGAGGAAATATGTGTAGGTAAGTATCCTTCACCAACTATACTAGAGAAAAAGAGAGAGAAAGAAAATTCGAAACAGTGACTGAGATGCCATCTTTTCTAGTCAGGAATGTGTCCTACCGGAAGGCCGGGTCGGGCAGGGCAGGGCGACTAAAACAAACAAGTTAATTGTATTTATTCAAATGCGGGGCGCACAGCCGCACAGCCGTCGCTCTCATGAATACGCATGTACAGTGACACCATGTTTGCTGTTGGAAGCGGGAAAGTCCCGTTCTTCCGTCGTGTGGGTTTTAACAGCTTTTGGTTGGGTGGTGTTAGACTTTACGAACTGTCAAAGGTCTGCGTAGCGTAGGAAGTGTCTCCTACGGAACTAATAGTGTATTTAGTTGATGTTACTGTGTGATCATAATTTCGTAGCATTTATTGTTTATCTGACTATAAAAAGTTGAAGTTAAGAAGTATTGAATGACGATCTTACATAATGGTAGGGAATGAAGTTAGGCATTATACCACTAGGTAAATGACGATTCTTGATGTCCGTAAAATCAATTTTGTTTTGTCAGTATTATGAGTTTGTACTTTTGGTAATGGTCAGCACTAGCAGTAGTCAAACTTTATGAAATGGGCTTTAGCAAAATCTTTTTCGATCTTCCTGTGTGGAGA